TAACTCTCAATTCGGTTGTGTGTATGTAGTGTTTGTTACCTCATAACTCGGTCATTTGTAAACCGATATTCAAAATTCTTTTTTTATCTGAAAGCATATACTTATAGATTGTTCCCATAGAAATTTTTATCAAAATCAGTTCAATAGTTTAGTGTTAAATCAAAATAACTGCGGGTCTACCATGAAATGAAATTCCGAAATTTCGGACTCTATTTCGTGTTTTTGTTTATACCAAAATCGGAGCAATAAATGGAGTTTAACATTTTGTTCGTCATACATCCTATCATAAAAGTCAAAAGGAACAATATTTTAACATTTTTAATATTTCCAAACGGCATGTATTATGTAATTTTAACAACAAATTTCTGTTCCGTTTGGCTCCGAAATTTCCGAAAACATTTCATGGTAGGCCCTAGAATATTTATGTTAAAATGATTGTTACATTATATATTACTTTCTTGTCTATAATTAGTGCTGTATAATATTTTTTATATATCTTATCTGCTATTGTATGACGTAATTTGGATATATAAATACATAGGCATATACAACTTGAAATGTACATATAGTCTATAAATAATTTTTAAACTACTTTGGTAAAGGATTTCAATTCTTTTGTATCTTTTATATTGTACATATCAATCGATATGTTTCAATTCTAAACAGATTTTAATGATTGTTTTTGTATTGGTCCTATACATTTTTGTAAAAATAAAAGTCGGTAAAAATGACTCGACCGATTTTAAGAATTCTTTCACCCATAGATAGCTATATTGTCAGCAAGTAACATAGGCAATATATTATATTTGAAAATTCACATTCAAATCCGGGCCGGATGGTTAGTTTGCAATAAAACTTTAAATTATAACTCAAACTTGGACCACATACATACCACTTAAACAAAAGAGGTTGAGGTAATCGTAAGCTATGTTGAACATTACCTTAACGGGACGTGTAACAGTTAGTGCTGGTATGGTAAACGCATGGTTTGTCAAGCGATGGGCCATGGGACACATGTACATTTGGGTGGATGAAGTCTCCATACCTACGAATGTATGGTTAATTTAACACGCAGCCGAAATATCTAGACCATACTTTTTTTTTATTTTTATTAATTTATTTTGCCCACTACCCACCTTAGGTGTATTTAAAAGGGAGCTTAGTGGACGGGCTCATCCTAGAATTGTCTGGTGCTATCCCAGGAGCAGGATTTCACAAAAAAAACATATCTGACTAGTTCTTAAACGCCTTTTTGAAGGGTCAGGCCCGTCCTGGAAAATTATCTTAATAGAGTCTTCTCGTCTTAATTTTATTTAGCATTTGACTTTTAAGACTATTTTTTAATCTTCTCACATCCTCTTTTTGCCATCTCAGTGATGAATGATCTCACCATTCGCTCCCTAATTTTCTCTGGGTTTTCTATTGTCCCTGAAAGTTTCAAACGCCCAAAAGGGACCGTTATCGCTCACGTTAAGAACCTATACTGTAGACGATTCGAGATTTGTTGCACTGCAGTTTATTGTTCTTCTCTTTCCTGAAACATTTTGATACTTGTTATATTAAAAATATAATAAATAAAAAAAAAAAAAAAATATATATATATATATATATATATATATATATATATATATATATAATATTTTGTAATTAGGTAGGTAAACAGTATATTTACTTTTCTGTATGTGTACATATGTATTTTAAAAATGTATGTTTCATATAACCATGCAATTTATTATCTTTTGTAAAAATAACTTACAAGTAGAATGTCAAATAAACTGATGGATCATCTGATACAAAATGGTTACTAACTTTTTAGAGAGCTCTCTCTATATTCATCAGAAAACACACGTATGTTTATTGAGTTAACCAACCCTGAGGTGTGGGGGGAAGGGATTGTTAGTAATACAGACTACTAGTCCCATTATTAGCAAAATACCCTGTCAGTTCGACCTCTACGTCCCCCTTGAAAACCATCGTGCTTAATTCTAGCTGGATTCATCACGATGAACTAACTGACCTGCCTTTTCATTATCATCTATCATCCCTCACTGGTGCCCCGTCAGTGTATACCGTTGATACAGGCGCGGTTACCATTCCATTATCACTCATTAAAAAAAAATCCTTGAGGTGTGCATTCTGAAGATAATCATGCCTACCGACTAAGATGCTATAGTTATTTATTAAATATTATGAATACATTTTTATAACTATAAAAAAAGACACAACCGGCGCGGAATTCCTTCTCAACAGTTTTTAATTTACTATTCAAAATATATCATAGTAACTTGTAAATTGCCATAGACACTGTTTGCAATTTCATTGCAAAATTGATTTTTTACTTTATCGCTATATGAATAACGTTCTAAATCATACAGAGAATAAGTTATTCTATATCTATTTGTATATAGTCGTATATACGACGACCATAGGATGTACTTACATATATTATGTATGTAGTACATATAGTGGTGTAATGGTATGCTGTACAAACGTGTAGTTTAATGTAACTTGTATGTTAATTACATATAATAACAATTATAATAACTTGTATATTTTTGTAATCATAAAAGTATGTTTTGCATGTTGAAATAATACGTTCATTTGTGGGATTTTGGTTACAATTTTGATTTTATTAATTTCATATGTGTTACCAGAAGGAGACTTTGTACAAAAGTCGTTTGCTTGGGCACCTCTGTCCTATTCGTCTTTCTACCGTAAATGGCTGTGTTACGGTTTGAAGGATGGCATATGGCAGTGAATTTACAGGGTACAGAGGAATAACTCTTGAGTCCTTAGATGGCAAAATATGGGGAGTATTACGGGCGAAACAATATACTCTGTTATAACCATGATACTGCTCATGTCTATAAGCGACGGTTACCACTTTCCATCAGGTGGGCCGTCTGCTTGTTTGCTATTCTAAGTTGCATAAAAAAATGTTAGTTAAACTTTTGCGTTGTTTATACATTTTTTTAAATACACTATCGGGACTTTTGCTTCTTTATTGCCGACGTTTCGACGTGGATTGCCACCACGTGGTGGTCACGACAGGACTCGGCAATAAAGAAGCACGTATGTAGGGAGTATTTATCTGCTAAAATGTTATTATAATGTTATAAATTCGAAAATATTAATGTATATATATTATTAAGCCAATTTGAATTTCTAAATGAAGTATTTGATGTCAAAAAACGATCAGCCAACAGCTGAATGGTTTTTCTAAATAAAACCTGCTATTTTTCAGTGTTAACAATAATAGCAAACTCTAATATTATGGCATATCTTCGAACACGAGCAGCGTGTGAATTCACTGGCACAATAAGAAAATAGTTGGTCTATTTTTTACGTAGCCTCTGTATGGAAACACTCCATCTAGGTGTTGTTAATCTATAATTAATTTATCAATGACCTTTCATGCTGAGGTTTTTAATTGTATGGTAGGTAATCACAGTCTTATCTCGCCTGATGACTGCATTACTTTCATAAGTCTAGGCTGCGCCGACAGGCGATTTGCAACAGGCGGCACCTGTCAACCACAACGCTTATCTTTACCTTGTTAAGTATGAAAACATCCGCTGCAAAAAAAAGTCCATCGTATTTTATATTTATATAGAATTGTTTTTTCAATACTTATAAAATAACTAATTCTAGTACGTTATACTGAATTAAAACTAAACTGTAGAATTTGTGTTTTTCTTGGCTAAGTAATACACTGGGTCAATAAATACGATGTCATGAAATTTAAACAAGTGCATGAAGATTTAATATTGTATTGGAAATATTGACATTATTAATATGTTTATTTGTTTATTAATAACTTATGAATAATACGAATGAGTGCTTCATTGAAGAATAGATAATATTCGTTTTGCCTTGAAGTATGGCGATTAATCAAGCATAGCTTTGCTCGTCGAGCGAAACTAATATTTAAGTATTGTTGCTATGGTGCCTTTTTGCATACTACCTATTACATGTTTACTAGCTAGGGTTACCAACTGTACGGGAAATTACCGGATTAAACAGTTTTTTTTTTTCTTTATAATTTTTTTTTTTTTTGTAATATCATTAGCAATCAAAATAGTTGAAATCGAAGTAGATTGTTTGCAAAATTTATATTGTCCGATTATGGTAACTCTATATTGTCTACGTATATTTTATGTTTAAAATACCATATATGCAAAAAGGTTCCCTAAATATGATTTTACAGAAAATGGTTCCGTACACGATTATGAATAGTGGATATTTCTGGTTGTTGAATTACAATTATTTTGTTTAATTCCGCTACCATTAGTATGTGTGCGACTGCCAACACTGGAAGGTTATTACCAGAAGTTCTGCAAGTTTCAATATTAGCCATCAATCTCCCATCGTTCGATACTCAAACTGCCGAACGATTTACACTAGGCTCCGAGCAGTGATCTATTAATTTGCCTGAAGATGCCTCGTTTGGTGAAATACGTGCAAAACGTGCGTGGACGAAATGGCAGTCGGCGAATGATTGCTAATATGGAAGGTAGTAGAATTTCTGATAATAATAATAGTAAATTTTCGATGTTTATCACTATATCGTCTTTCAATCCACACCTCTGTAACTTACGCTTAAATGTAATAATGTACAATTAATAAAAAAATTGTTTTCCATACTTCAGTAGCTTTAATCAATTGCGAAAATGGGATATTTTTGAAAGGGTATTATTATTATTTAAAAAATGAATCAATAAAATGTGTCGTTTTTCACATATTTTACTAATTAAAGGGAATTAGTAAAATATGTGTCGCAAAATGTGCTTGGACTGAATAGGGGTTGGAAAATGTTTAATATGAAAGGTTGTAGAACTGGTAATAATAATAATAGTCAATCTTCAAGGGCAATCGCACGCATACTAATGGTAGCGGAATTAAACAAAATAATTCTAGTCAAATAACCAGTGATATGAACTTCAGTGAAATAACACCTAGTTGAGTGAAATATTTACAGTGTGTTTGTATGTGTATTACAGGGCGGCATCAACGACAAATGTGATGTTCGCGTCTGCGCCGCTGGTGAGACGCGCCTCGGCACTACAATTAGATTCAGACACTGACAACAAAGGTATTTCAATTTATTCTCTCAACGGATATATTTATTTTATGCAAGTAATTACTAATAACCGTGTGGTTCCGGCATAGAATAGGATACCCCTTCCTTTCCCGTGGGAGTCGTAAGAGGCGACTAAGGAACCTTATGGTGTAGGGATGGGCAACATTGTTAAAGCCTAAACTGCGGTTGCCACTCCGCCTGTCAAGCGTGGCATCTACTGGCATAATCCCTCTTATGGGGAAGGCCTGTCCAGCAGTGGGTAACTGACAGCCGATACAAATGTATGGACAAAACTCCCCTTATGGGGAAGGCTTATGTTCAGCAGTGGACAGTTAACGACTGATTTTTTTTTTTTAATGAATGTATGAAATAACATTGTATGATATATTATGTTATATGGAATGATTTATATGAACTAATTAATAAAAGCGAAAAAAAAATTGTGGTGTGTACAGAAATTCTAAATTTATAAATATTTTATTTGCCATTGTTTACACCCTGTATAAAAAATATCTTACTTATTTTAACGTTGTGTTTAATGCTGCATAAAGGAATTATGATGTTCTCGAGCTTCTGTGAGTATGACTCTATACGGATTATAATGTTTACAATGCACATGAGTCACTGCACGGTCGTGATCGTGACGCCATTGGTGACCGCTCACCATATCTGTCGTTTTATCATCTTTATACATCTATAACGCTTGGGGAAAATTAGTTAAAGAGATGTATACAGGATGATATTAAAATCTTTGGCATTCTTTGTAGGTGATACTGTTTTTTTTTTTTTTTATACCACTGAAGTGGTAAAAAAACATATGGCCTCCCTGATGGTGAGCGGTTTCCGTAGCATAAGAACGCCTGCAATGCCCTGAAGAAATCTAGTTACCATTTTCTTGAAAAACCCCATGCTGTAGTCTCTTGGAAAAACCTAGACAGGGAGCTCATTCCATGACCTGATCATTCGTGGTATAACTGATAACTCAGTATAATTTATATTATCAATATTATACATATAAATATTGATTTTATACTTTATTTTCCTATTTAGCTCTACTACTGCCCACTCGCTATTTCCTATGCCACTGTATTAAGTTGACTGGAAGAAATCTCTTTTAGAGATATGTTCGACTTTGCTTATTTTTGTTACTAATTTTGTATTATTATTGTATGTTTTATTCCAATATATATATATATATATATATATATATATATATATATATATATATATATATATATATATATATATATGAATCTCTTCTCTCAAGTTGTCTGTAAGAGATCCTTCTATGGAATAAGTCCGCCATTGTATATTAAATCTTTATATCCAATGTAAAGTATGTACAATAAAGACTTTACAATTAGTATTCATTATATTTTTATACTATGACAAACATTGTGAAAAGAAAACTGTGTAATCATATAATAAGGCCTTGCCGCGCTATTAAAGATGAAGCTAATGCTATAATCCGGCGTTTGTATGTCAAGAAGATTACTATCAGCTTACATAATTTTCTTCGTACTAAACTATGCATTTTAAACACTATTAAAAGTATTAAAAAATAGATTGCTTGGGTACCTCTGTCCCATTCGTGTTTCTACCGTGAAGCAGTTGTGTTTGCATGGCTGTGTTTCGGTTTGAAGGGTGGGATATGGCGTAAATTTACTGGGTACAGAGGAATAACACCTGAGTCCTCAGGAATGGCAACGCATGGGGGGTATCATGGGCGAAACAGTATTCTCTGTTATGTCCATGGTTCTGCTCATGTCTATAGGCGACGGTTACCACTTTCCATCAGGTGGGCCGTCAGCTTGTTTGCCATTCTAAGTTGTATAAAAAAAATACATAATAAATAATGAATAAAAAAATAAAAAAAAAAGTGTATAATATAGTATATGGCATATATGTGTAAGTATATTTGTTATTTATTCGTTTATATATGTTATTTTAGTATGTATGTATATCAATAATTACTAGTATCGCATTCAAGTATTCTGACTCTTTCCTAAGGTTGACTGGGAGAGAATGCTTCTAGCATTAAGTTCGCCATGTACACATATTTGTACTAATGAATAAATAAATAAATAAATAAAAAAAAATAGGAATATATCTTATTTAAAAAAATAATGTTTTAAATTAAGTATCAAAACACGATACAGCATGCTTATAAATGACCTTTAAAATAAGGCCTTTTTTTATTACTAAGGAAATAATTGGTCCTCTCAAAGAAAATATATCTAAATAAAATATAACGTGACAAGAACCAAGGCAAAGATGCAACAATAAGCAGTCTTGTTATTAAACAGTAGTCACTTTTTTGCATCTTGACAAGCTAACAGCCTCCTGATTGAAATTAAAAACTCTCGCTTGTAAACTACACCTTGAACTTACAGAATATACTGTGACGTCCATGGCATTCCCTATACGTTATCAATCCTAAAAACGGTGTTATGTCTTCGTTCATTGTAATTTCATTGCATTATTTCTCATCTCTCATACCGAATACCTCATATACAATCGTGCAATCACAGCTGCTTGCTGGCAGAAAAAAGATGCAAATTGTTTTTACAGTCTACCTGGTCAGGTATTTCCAAGAGACCTCAGGATAAAAGAATAATTAGAATTATTTATATATTTAACTCTTTATTGCACCAGAAACGAAAATATACAATGACAATTGAATAATTCGAGTGAAATACAGTAACGTAAATACAGATTGAAATATACACATAAAGGTACAAAATACGGTCGTATCGCTAGGGCAATCTCTTACAGACAACCTTTGTTTAAAGGAGAACAGATAGAAGAGGGCAGGTGGCGCAAGAGTGAATTAATAATTTATTCGTGCATGAAATACAAAATGCACAAAAGTTGAAAATGCATATACTTATATATATATAATTTATATTTATCATACCTTTTTGCCGTGTAGTCTCAACTTAAAATAGGCCATCTCTTCCTTTCCCATGAATGTCGTAAGAGGCAACTAAGAGAACTTAATGATCGAGGGATGGGCAGCACTGTCCCTCTATAAACATCACCAAAATCTAATTGCAGTTGCCAACCCACCTGCCAAGCGTGGCGACTACTAGCAAAACCTTAGGAGGCCTGTATTCAGCAGTGGACAGTGAATGTTATAATAATAATAAAATAATCACTATTTCATTGGCAGACGAACCTGACCGGCAGCCGCAGCCAGTGATGTGGTCGTCGGTCGCCCGGAGACGGACGGACCTAGTGCCGACCGTCCCCGCGCCCCGCGCACCAGGTAGAGCCTACTCCATGACGAGACTCGACAAGATACCGACCCAGAGGCCGCTGCACTCAGCCTCGCCGTCGATGCACCACCTCAACAGGACCCGTAAGACACTCAGGCTCGGTTGACGAGAGCCACCGCTTCGGTTGCCGAGGTTGCCGGGTTGCTTCAACGGCTTTGCTTTTGTCTATATAGGTTTTGGTGGTTTCCACGTTCTTTTCCAATGGCTTTGGCTATGAAACGGTCATATGTGTGTTGGGTACAAGGGTTATAATTTTATTAATTTCTAATATCGCTTCAAGCTGTATGCTGTTGTACAGCCTCTGTATATCGGTAATTAATTTTTTTTTTTTTTCAGAATTAACCCTTTGCATAATGGTGGAAATTTCCATCATAACATTGAATGCCCAAAAATTATTTAAAAGACTTTTAGTTGATCGTGTCTGGATACCTTTTTAATGTCCATTGCAGAAAAGAAAACATAGCTGTCATATTTATTTTTTTAACCATTTTTCCTTTAATTTTGAACATGAATTATATCACCTTGATTTATTTCACCAATAAAACAAAATCATGCAAAGAAGGGTTAATAAGTACCAAATATCTAAAATATAATTCTTATCCCTTTATTACGAAACCCAAATTTCAATCTACATCAAAAAGAAATAGGTTCTCAATTCGATTGTATTTTTTTTTTACCTCATACCTTCGTCAATCGAAAATCGATTTGGAAAACTTTTTTATCTAAAAGGTTATATACTTACATATTGGGCCCATAGACAGTATACCAAAAACATTTCAGTCGTTTAGTTTTTAAAATAATTGATTTTGTCACAATTGAAACCTTTTTTTTTGGAACAAAATATTGTTATAAATACGTGGTAAGGGGACAACTTTAAGCAATAAAAAGCTCGCAGCGGCTGCGCCTTGAGATTTCTGTCGCTTCGTTTTGTGTGATAAACCGCTTCAATTATTTATGTAAAATATAAATGCCATAAATACGTATTATTTATCCCAATCCCAATCGATGCCTTAATTATCCCAATTTCAAGACTTGTTGTAATTTGATTTTTGGCAGCTTCCCTAGAAATTTTTATATCATTTTGAAAACCTTACCTCTCTAGATTCTAGATCAAATTTTCTATATTTTAATACATTGTCTTAGATTGGTAATAGTTGGCCCATATTTCTCGTGATATTACATCTATATAACTTTATTGACAAATTCAATGATGGAAGTTTATAGTAAATGAGAAGTAAGTTCCCAGCGCTGGAACATTATTGGGGCACTGGCCCTTATAGCTTCTTATAGCTTAGACATCTCTATTGCTTAGTAAAGCACAATTCCATCAATACCTCATCATTACGAGGATACAAATCTCAAGAGGACCGATTAAGGAGCCATCTTTACTATGTAAATTGAGTCGGATCTACGTAGTCTACGTTTATCCACAGATTTTTTTTTATTCGGTTTCTTTTAGCTTTGTCTCTTGAGAACTTTAGTCTGATGATCTATATCTACATAATAAATCCTTTACGGGGTAGGCAGAGATTGTTATTACTCTTAAATACTTAATCTGCATAATACAGGTAAGTCACTATAATATTTCGTTAAACTTCCATAGTCGTCTGTAACTACTACTGGTGTACTGGTACGTTTGTCTCTTTCGCTCTCTATCTCTCCTTATCCGGTGTGCGGGTCACTTCGCGAGGTAAGTGGTTCGGCTAACTTAATTTTTACATCTTACCATCCATCTTGTCACTAAATTATAAATTTGTATTAATATCACACTTTGCATTGTATTATAATACATAATTAGCACAGAAAATAATGTATAAATTGGCACAAATAACATGCTGTATTAAAAAAAAATTTTCCTCTTGTCGATTAATTGCATTCATAGACAATACCATAATGTCCATAGGGACATTGTAGTCTATGCATTCACTTTCTAGACCGAGTGGTCACATGTCAATACTATAAATAAATATATAGGAATATGAAAAACTAAATGCTTATTTGTCTTGTAAAACACTTGCACGCATGAGTGATACGACACGCCTATTTGCAAGCGAATTATACATACATGATGTATCAGAAATAGGAGTTGGTAATATAACGTTATCTATATATTGTAATTGCAATATATATATATATATATTGGTCCAATAACAGGTATGTTAAATATCGGGTATACATTGTACAGTATTGAAATAAAGAACCTGGTTGTAACGAATATAAATATATGTATGGGTGATAACGAAGTGGATGATCACTTTTTTTCGCTATCAATATCCAGAGAAACCCAATATATAGATATCGTAGTACGGCCGATATTACACGTACCCAATCAGAAATATTAGAACAAGCCCTAAGTCAGTGACAATATCATGAATATGAATAACTTTCTTCAAAATAGAGGTACTTGCATGACTATGTTTCTATTGGGACGGTGGGATATGGTAGTAAAATTGCAAAATATCATGCAGTGTGCGGCAAATTAGGATGTCATGGGCTCAGTATATTCTGTGATAATGGTCGCTGAATTGGGAATTGTTGTTCTTTTTGTTACAAACTGTATATTAGAAAGATGTTTGGAGTTTTCTAAAGTAAATAATGAGTACCTGTCCTTATTTTTTTTTCTTTTTTTTATTCCACTTAGAATGGCAAACAAGCTGATGGTCCACCTGATGGAAAGGGTTAACCGTCGCCTATAAACATGAGCAGTACCATGGACATAACACAATATACTGTTTTGCCCATGATACCTATGCGTTGCAATTCCTGACGACTCAAATGTTATTCCTCTATACCCTGTAAATTCACTGCCATATCCCACCCTTCGAACCGTAACACAGTCAGGCAAACACTTGAAAAGCAAAAAAAAAAAAGCAAACACAAATTTTTTTCACGGTAGAAATATAAATGAGATGGAAGTACTCGAGCTAACGACTTTTGTACAAAGTCTCCCTCTGACAAAGCTTCCTTACCGTGCTATTGTAAATTTTACACTTTCCTGCATTCCTAATATAAATATTACCGTTATAACATACATCTTAGTGTATCATACTATATAGTTTTCAAACTATGGAATTAATTTAGCTAAAAACAGATTACCCATATAGTCAGAAAATGTAAGAAACAAACATGCTCAATAAAATTAAAATTGTCATGTAAAAATTATTGGCGAAGACAATTTAGGGACAAAATAAGTAACTATTGCCAATTAGTCTCAAATTAAGACAGCTTGTATTATGGGTACTAGACAACTGATAGACAGACATGTTTGAATTTTATTTATAAATATATATTTTACATTTAAATCACCCAGTCCAATACAGATTGTCACTCATACTGACATACTCATAATATATTTTTTTTGTTAATGCTAGAAGAATTCTATTATCCATCTTTATCAATTATTTGGAATAGTAGAAGAAGAGGATTCATATTCTTTATTTAAATCTGTCTTTATAATCTATACACTACTTTGACACGCTTACTTACGTTATAAGAGCATTACACAACCGCAACACAATATCAAAATGTATAAAAGCTTTTACGCACCGCTTACACACGGCCCCCATGACCCCCACGTGGGGTGCGTGCCATGAGCGCCCCCTAGCGGCTACAAGCGCACGTGTCCGCAGAGCCGCGGTCGGGCGAGACGACGCCGGGTTCAAGGCCGGGGAGCGCGCTCGCCGCCGCAGTGCCTCGCCGCCCGAACACCAACACCCCGCGGCGCCCGCGGCCCGCCTCCATCGCCGGCACCGGCGTCAACACGCCCAGAGGTAACGCACACGTCGACTTTTTAAATTTCATTTCGTTCTAATATTAAAAACGTTCTATTTTTTTTTTTTATATTTTTACTTGTCTATGACACAGGTTTGATTTTTTTGTTTGTCATGCGTTGTAATTTTTATTTGTTTCGTCCAATGTCGAGTGCGTTCTTTTTTCAATTTTTGAATAAGGAACTAAGAAGGTTAGAATCAAACGGAGATTGCAAAGACATACGTCAATATAAGGCACTGAATATCGCTTCGTGGCCTAAGTTTAAGCAACATAAATACATCTCTTACTACCATCTGTTACTACTCCAGTAGAAGTAAGAGTTTTATCTTGCTGTTAAGTTTTGGCTTCTCCGAGATGTTAGTGCTACAATCTCCATTTGATTTTAACTGTCTTGGTTAGGTTTCAGGTTTTTTTTTTTTTAAACTTATTAAATGCGTCAAGTTTTATTTTTTAAATAATGTTTTCAATTGAACATGTGGTTGTAACAATATGTTTTAATATAATCTATGTCCTTGTGTTACGCAGCGTGAGCTTTGCTTTACTTGTTGTAAATAAATGTCCAATGTTTAATATTATGTCACTAAATTGAATGTAATTATTATAATTCCTAACTTTTCGCTTTCGAATAGTGATTGCAGTAGGTTTCTTAGAATACTGTAAATTATCACTCAATATTATTGATGTTTCCTCTTTTATCATTTTACTTGTATTTATCATAGACTTTTTAATCTACTTTTTATATATATTTTAAAATTAATGTTAAAGTTGTATACACAATACTTATAAATTTATTAGTAATTAAAATATGTGAAAAAAACGTTTATATTTGTGAAATATAAACAACTGGCTTTAAAAGATATTAAATTAAAAAAAAATGGAATCTGTTTCTATTTAGAAGGCTGAATTTAAAAAAAAATTGTTGATAATAATAATGATGATTCGTCCAGCGTCATACTCGTGAATGGACTGTCGCCCGGAGGCTGTAAGTTACGTCGTACAGGTAGTTAAAGATAAAATATAATATTTCATGTTCTGTTATAAATTCGTCATAGTCGTAGAATACTGACGGATCTGACGAATATTATATATAAAGATCCATCAGTATTCTACGACTATGACGAATTCAGTAATTATATATTTCTCCTTTATTGAAGACTATGACAATCCATTAATGTTCCCATTAGATTAACTAGTAAAAACAAAAATAAGTAACAAAAATTGGTTATTCCCATTGTTTCGAAACTATAAATGTTGATAGTGGCTAGTTTATTTCTCCATCTACACTTAATTTATAAATTTTCATTTATTTTATAGCTCGGTTTATAAAAAAAAATTAAAATTTTCCTGACAATATTTGTCCATATAAATTTTCCTCGAATTTACAAATGTGGGAAAAAAAATAATTAGCCGATTTGATCCTACAGACCTAGAATTTAGTGTAAACACATTTAACGATTCGTTTTATCAATACGTTTATTATTTAATTCGTTTTATACACCTTTGTCTACTTCATTACTGAAGCTCGTGTCTTTAAAATGGGTTTTGTTGCCTCTCTTATGATATTTCTCCATTTCGCGCGGTCTTCAGCCTTTCGCACGGCGGCTGCAAATGATAGTCCCGTAACGGCGGTTATTTGGTCGACTTAGCGATCGTCCGTGTGGTCTTTTTTCCTCTATTTTGCCTACAAACATTAGCTTGCCCGGATGTAGACGAGCTATATGAGCGAAGTATCCAAGAATCCTCCAATAGCAGTTTATACATAATAAATAGATAAATTTACTTTAAATACTACCTACCTACATGTTGGTTTTATTAAGCTCTAACATGGAGTAGTAAGTACGGTATAAGAGGAGAGGTTGTGGTGTGTGGTGCAGGCGGCGCGGGCGATGCGAGCGTCGCGACGACGCCGTCGGTGTCGCGCGACAGCACCGTGGTGGGCGCCGCCGCCGACGTGCCGCGCCGCGCCGCCTCCACGCCGCGCCGCCCGCGACCCGCCTCCATGCACGCCGCCACCAGGACCACGCCCGGTTAGTGCACACCGCCACCACCACCACAGCGGGGGTGGGGGGGGGGGACACTCCCATTGAATAAGCAAAACTAAAATAGCAAAAAAGTTGTCGTATAAAAATTAACTACAGAAAATAAAGTTTCTTTTACAAAAAAAAAAAAAACAAAAAAAAAAACACTCCCATTGCTAACAATATACCCTAACACCTCCACTTCTCCATAGTAACCATCGTGCTGAATTCCAGATGTATTCATCACGATAGGCTAACTGACCAGCTCTTTCCTTCTTACTTTTTTTTATGGAACTTAGAACGGCAAACAAGCTGATGGAAAGTGGTAACTGTCGCTTAAAGACATGAGCGGTACCATGGGCTTAACAGAGTATACTGTTTCGCGTGTGATACTCCCCATGCGTTGCCGTTTCTAAGGACTCAGATGTTATTCCTCTTTACCCTATAAATTTACTACTTACGTACCTATCGTCCCTGAGTAGTACCCCGCCAGCGTATACCGATAGCGCAGGCGGAGTTACCATTCCATTATAATCTCTTAAGAAATATACGCTTCTGTGTCTATATACGCGAACACAGCGAAGACATCGTCGATGTTGCACGACATTAATGGTGATATCATGCGACATCGACGTGTCGTGTAAGAGTGAGCGAGAGCCACCTCTACGCGCGACACTCATTTTGTACCGAAATCAACAAATACCTAATTTTATTTCAATCTTTTTTTACATTCATCACACCATTCCAAATATTCAATGTTATTAAACAAATATATAAATATGGTAAAAAACTTGGATTATATAGATAGATAGAAGCATCGAGTTTCAGAAACGATTCAACTTTTTAGCAACTAATTGTCAAATTAACTGTCTCTCTTTTTTTTTGTTAATGTTATATATACTTACGCACACAATGTATCTTGACGTATGTATATTTATTTAATAAATAAAGTGAAATTTTACGCATTAAAAATATGCAAAAATTATAAAGTTACAAAGAAATCACTCGAAACTATTTATCACGCAAAATTGTATGGAAAAGTTTACACGCTTTTCTTGAAGCATTTGTATGGAGACATTCTATCTATATAATCTAAGGTAAAAAAAAAAACTATTTTTTGGCCCTTTCCTCAATTTCACTGGAAATGCTTATATCCATAGCTGTCCTGGCCCTCTAGACAAGTGAGAAGCGATTTCGTCAATAGAATCGACATCGCAAGCGAGTCCGTGAGATAGAATGAGATAGTAACGCCGAATGACTCATTCCAACTCATGAACTCGCTAGCGATGTCGATTCCATCGACGAATTCGCTTGCCACTTGTCTAGAGACCCTGAACACTTCGTGAAATGTGTAATGTACTTATCATATTTTCGAATAAATAGAATAAATGTTTACATTACAGCGTTGTCACTACCGCCGGGAGAAGGCAAGCCGCCGCTACATAGAAAACCAAAGCCATCCAAAGAACACGATAAGGTCAGTGTCACATTACCTTTTAATATAATGATAATGTACAAATATATAAGAAGTGGCGTGTATGCGATAAAATTGCTTGGGCCTACATTTGTTTTTTTCAGTTTAAACAAAAGACAAGAATTTTGATTTTTTTTATTTAATGCTAAATCCATCATTTGTCGTCATTCATCCTATAAAAAAAGTTCTCTTAGGTTAATATCTACGAGGTTTGTCCGGAAAGTACGTATAAAAGTTTTTTAAAAATTTTATTTTACAATTATTCAGGTAAATCAATTTTATCCCCTTCAAAGTACTCCCCCTGTGACATAATGCACTTGTGCCAACGCCGTTTCCACTGTGAGAAGGCTCCTTGAAAGTCCTCTGGTTGTAGGTTTCTCAGCTGCCCCGTCGTAGCTTTTTTTATCTCATTTATGTCCCCCAAATGCCGCCCCCGAAGTACCAATTTGGTTTTTGGGAACAAGAAGAAGTCACACGGGGCCAAATCCGGCGAATAGGGGGGTGTTCGGTCACCGTAATGGAATTTTTACTCAAAAACTCACGGACAACAAGAGAGGTGTGAGCAGGGGCATTGTCGTGGTGAAGAATCCAACGCCCCTCTCGCGCCAATTCTGGACGAACTCGTGCCACACGAGCTTTGAGGCGTCTGAGCACATCGACGTAGAATTTTCCATCAACTGTCTGGCCTGGAGGGACGAATTCTTGATGGACAATCCCCCGAACATCGAACTCTTTCTCGGCCCTCTCTGAATCTTTTTAGCCACTTGTGGACGGTTGGTTCCTTCACAGCATCATCCCCATAAACTGTTCTGAGATCGGCAAAAATTTCACGGCCATTCTTGCCGAGTTTCGAGAGAAACTTGATTACGACGCGCTGCTCTTCAACGGAAGCGGGCTCCATGCCGACGGGGTTTCGTTAAGAGGTAACTTCACAGATGGCGTGACAAGCCAGTTCGCACCGCACGGCGGTCAGACCAGAACTGAAGCATTGTTAGGGACATAAGGAAGGGGTCCTGCGCTTACCTGGCCTCCCCACTCCTCTTTCTCGCATTCCAGAACACTTTTATACGAACTTTCCGGACAGACCTCGTACTTAGGTTACATTTAACCCTCTTACCGGACATTCCGCGATTTCCGCGTGCAGTATCCACTAGTTTAATTTTACGCATCCCGCGATTTCGACGTGCTCTCATTTTTTATGTTTATCGACGTTGTTATCCCGCGATTTTTGTTTTGGTAGATTGATATTGTTCCTCAGAATCTCGCTAGATGGCTAAATACTCGTACTGCTGTTTGTTGTTAAAGCGATGTGTGAAAATAAAGCAAAAAAAAAAAAAAATACGCGGTCAGAGGTTTAAATTTAATTAGATGGCAGCGCCTAGCATTTGTCTGCAACCGCCGTGTCGCCGATCCTACATGGACGGTAGATCGGCAACATCGCATTGTGTATTTTCTTAACTAATGCGTCATAGTCAGACGATTCTCGTTGTCTGATAGATCTTAAGCTCAGCAGTCAATGTAAAATACACGACAGGATTTGAATATGAGTAATACATGTCACCAATCTTACGTCGGCGAAGATTGGCAACTGAAGATACACTAGATAAGACGCCGCTAGCCTTATGCATGTTTAGTATATTGTCGCAAAATAATTATATATTTGTAGAGGTGGGATTACCCACCTATATATCGGATATTATATCCGATATCTATATATTGAGTACTTCGGGACATTGATGACAACCCATTACAATGTCAAAAAATCGCCGATACCAGTTAGATATCTTAATTTATTACGAGCGGGTTCCTCGTTTCGATATTATATATTGGATAACCGATATCTAATATATCTTTTATTGGGCCAATATATATGTGTATATATATATAACAAAATAAAATAATGTAATGTAATGTAATTGTGAACAGCGCGGCAAGTCAACGTCAGCGTCGCCGGGCCGCTCGCTGTCGCCGCCCAACGCACGCCGCGTCGACCGCGACAAGGTATTGTCTTGTTTCTTTTTTCGATAAGTGATAATAGAATGTTAACCCTGCCTACAGACGTAGGCTCTTAATTTGCTTATAGGTTTTTTTTTATGTTTGTACCTCATAACTCCGTCAGTTGTAAACCGATTTGGAAAATGCTTTTTCTATCAACAGTATACTTATAGATTGTTCCTATAGAAGTTTTATCAAAATCGATCCTGTAGTTTAGATTTTAAATCAAAATAACTTGATTTTTTTTTTGTGGAATACTATGTTTTGTATTTTATATTTGTTTTTGATTTTTAAACAATTAACAACTTTTATTTGTTTAAGTGAACGTTCTTTTTATGAATTTCACAAATGAAACCGTTCATTGAAAGTATGCAAACTATTTCAATTTCACTCTGTAATTGAATGGGTGTTTGCAGTCGTCGGCGTGGTCGTCGTCGGAGCGCGACAAGTCGCAGGTGAGCGCGATCGAGGTGTCGCAGAAGTTGGAAGCGCTCCAGATACACAACGGGGAGCGGCACACCCACGACCAAAACTTAGACAATAAGGTACACTGGCATTTACAGTACTCAGCCCTAGACAAATATGTCATAAGTACAAAATATCTATTCTCTCCTCGAAGGTTGCCTGGAAGAGATTACTTCAGCGATAAGATCGCCTTTTATACTTCTAATTGCTATTTCGAACAAAAAAAATATAAATTTATAACGCCATATGTTTATTTAAAAAAAAAAAACAATAAATTACAAAATTGTTTAACTATGATCCCCATATGGGTCGAACCTGTATCTGAGGAACCTAAACACATATAACTTATGACACTTTTACATTTTTTTTTTTCAACACAAAATGCCAATTTACAAACAAAAGCTGTGTATTTATGCTTAATTGAATTTGTGTACTAATTATTGTTCCTAACTAAATTATTTCTACCATTCTCGAAAGATTATAACTAAATAATGCTACTTTATAATTTTATTTTTTAATGGGAAGATTGGGAGATTCTTTTACGGCGCTTTAAACTTGTTTGTACATTCATACATTCATATCTGGCACGCCTGTCTTCCATTGGAGTAGACAGAAACAATGGAATCATATATGTAAAAAATGTGACCTTTTATCACACTGAAATGCCATTTTTTTTACATTATTAACTGTACAATAATTTATTACAAAAATGTTTAGGTAAACGAAAACAAAGAAAACATAGAGGTAGAAGCAAAACCATCGAAGCCCGAACAGAAATTAGTAGATAATAAACCAGTAGAAGAAGTGAAGCCTGTCGAAAAAGAAACAACACCGCCCGTGGTGAAAGAAGAGAAGCCCACAGAGAAGAGAGAAGAACAAAAAGTGGAAAACAAAGAGGAGCAAAAGGTTGAGAAGAAAGAGGAACAGAAAGTGAACGAGAGAAGGGAAGAGAAGAAGGAACCCTCGCTAGAGAAGACTGACGAATCTGAAATGACAGGTAAGTGTGCATTTAAAATATACCTACATCTACAGTCATACATTATTCTAGAAATATTAATCAGTACCATCACAAAGGCTCAAATCAGAGGCTAAGCGCGGAAAATAGAGTCCTATTTACATTACATTACATTACAATCAGTGTCATCTAGATGGAAAGCAGTGTTTCGTCAGTGAAGTTTTGACGATTCAAAAGTCGTATTTAAAAAAATAGTTTTAATATAGGACAAATATTTAAAATGTGGGTTTCCGATTAACTCAAGTGCTCGCCCTATTACTCTTAATAATCGAATCAAATTAAAACATGAAAACTGCAAAGAAATGACTTACGCAATGTTGGAACTTCGCAGACTTTCTGTTTTTGTAAAGTTTCAATCACAAATGGTTTGTAGGTTTGAAAGAGGTTGATAGCCAAATTCTTTACGCCTAGAGAAAATGGAATTACCTAGGAGTTGTATCTCATTGTATTGTGATATCTGTACAACAACTTCTAGGCCATTTATTCCCAAAATCCTCAGAAAGGAAGTATTCGACAGTCTTCATACTCTGAGCCATCCAGGGTCTAACACGTCTGCTAAAATAGTAGCTCAACGCTTTGTATGGCTCGGCATCAGAAAGGACTGCAGAGTGTGGGCTAAATCTTGTCTGGCTTGTCAGCGATCTAAATTAAGTCATCACGTGTCTGCTCCGTTGGGCACTTACGACTTACCTCGAGCACGATTTAAGGTAGTGCATATTGACCTTGTCGGTCCCATGCCTCTGTCTCAGGGATACCGGTATTGTCTCACTGCCATCGACCATTTTACTAGATAGCCAGAAGCAATATAACCGATATTTTAGCTGAAACTGTTGTCAAGGCTTTACTTTCAAGCTGGATTTCTAGATTCGGCTGTCCTGAGCAAATTGTTACGGACCGTGGCCGCCAATTTGAATCGGCTCTATTCGAACAATTGTCTCAGATTACAGAGTTCGAACAAAAACAAACTACAGCCTACCATCCAGCGTCTAACGGTCTTGTTGAAAAGTTCCACAGGCAGCTTAAGACTTCCATCATGTGTCATGCGAATAGTACTCGGACTACTTTCCGTGGGTACTATTGGGCATACGAAAGTCTTTTAAGGAATACTTACAAGCTTCTTCAGCAGAACTTATCTATGAAGAACCTTTAAGAATTCCAGGCGAGTTTTTCGATCGCCATTTCGAAGGTTCTACAGATGTCACTGATTTTATGGCACGTTTACGTTTATTCGCCGATAAAATCAAACCTGTTGCAGCTTCTCGTCATAGAAATGACAAAATATTTATTTTCAGAGATCTTGCTACTACCAATTACGTATTCCTTCGCGAAGACGCATTGCGTAGTTCTCTCCAACCAGCATATACTGGACCTTATCTTGTATTACACAGAGGTGATAAAACCTTTAAATTGCTCATCAAAGGTAAAGAAGTCACTATTTCGATAGATAGATTGAAACCCGCCTACATTTTAAATGATCACACCACACTTAACAACCAAGACACGAACAATTCTGTAGCTAGAACTACTCGTTCTGGACGTCGTGTCCAATTTCCAGATTTCTATAGCCCTTAACAAGGTCTCATGAGGGAGAGTGATGTAGGCTATCAACCTCTTTCAAACCTACATAGTTGTAGAAATGTAAATAGTGACGTTCTTGACAATCTCCTTGTCTTAGCAATTTTACCGAACAATATTTTGTATCGCGACTTATTATATCTGGATTTATTTACTGTAAATATTATTCATTATACAATCTCGTACTAAATCTTTCTTTCTCTCACTCCTTCTAAATCTATATATATATATATATATATATATATATATATATATATATATATATATATATATATATATATATATATATATATATATATATATATATATATATATATATATATATATATATATATATATAAATATCATCAAGCCCACATCTACACCTCTGCAGGTTTATATCCCATTGTACCTCCGTCGTCGTGTGGTCCCGGCATAGAATAGGCCACCCCTTCCATTCCCATGAGTATCGTAAGAGGCGACTAAAGGAACTTATGGTCAAGGGATGGGCAGCAACGTCCCACTTAAACTGGACAGAGGTCGACACTCGGTCTACTATAATCACTAGTCCCTATAACAAATAATCCCTTCTCTTTAATAGTAAGTATTGTGATTGCTCATTGTGATTAATGATTAAATGTCAATTCTTCTCTTATGCTCAGCATCGATGACCGCGCGGCGTATCACAACCGCGGAAGAAGCGAAAGCAGCACTGGCTGAACGCAGGCGGCGAGCCCGCGAGGAGGCCGAGCGGCAGGCCGAACTCGAGAGACAGAGGTACTTCTACTTATATAAATTTGAATTAATGAATGAAAATTCTTTATAGTTCCCCTCAAAGAAATATAAATTATTATAAGTAACAATTAGAGAGACATATTGAAACGAAAGGGTTTGAAGTATTATTAAATAATTAATCAAAAAGTGAAAAACGGAACAATTCGATCATTGTAAGGAAATTTAGTGGTAACAATCAGTATGCAAATATTTCAGATTGCAGCGCGAAGCGGAGGAGGAAGCTGAGCGACAGCGGCTGGAGGAGGAGCGACAGCGGCGGGAGGAGGAGGAGGCACGGGAATTGGCGCGCCTGCAGCGGCAGCAGGAGGAGGAGAAGCTGAGAAAGGCTATTGAGGTATGCGATCTGAACTTATATTTAGTGTTGAATATTTGAAGTGTGTTAGAACGGGTATCATACCAAGGGATAGAGAAATTAGTTTTATTTCGTTCTTTATATAATTTAATTGTAGTTTTCTCATATCCGGCTCGAAGGACCATAATAGTACACGCATAGGATTTAACAATAAAAAACTTAAAATTAGTATGATTTAATCCAATATTATACAGTGTCCATACTATGGATTTCATTTACTAAATCCTCTATACAAAGTACTTAGAATATATTTTTGTTACGAGTTTTGTGTCCATATACGTTTATCAAATGTCTGTCGTTACATTTTATTGAATAATAATTTGATAACATTTCCATCACTGTGACATCGTATTGATAAAAAAAAAAATTATTATATAATATTATTAGATATGGGTGTATGAGTATATAGTCATTGACTGTCCCCACGTGTACACGCGTGCAGGCGGCGCAGCAGGCGGAGCGCGAGGAGGCGGAGCGGCAGTCGCGGTCGGAGGCGGAGCGGGCGGCGCGCGCGCGCGAGGAGGAGGACAAGCGCCGCGCCGCCGAGCGCGCCGAGCGGCTGCGGCGCGAGGACGCCGAGCGGCAGGAGCGCGAGCGCGTCGCGCGCAAGCAGCGCGTCGAGGCCATCATGGCGCGCACGCGCCTCAAGAAGGTGACGCACACGCACCCGCACCCGCACACACACACGCACACGCACAGCAACACGCACGTGGCGAGGACGCCGAGCGGCAGGAGCGCGAGCGCGTCGCGCGCAAGCAGCGCGTCGAGGCCATCATGGCGCGCACGCGCCTCAAGAAGGTGACGCACACGCACCCGCACCCGCACACACACACGCACACGCACAGCAACACGCACGTGGCGAGGACGCCGAGCGGCAGGAGCGCGAGCGCGTCGCGCGCAAGCAGCGCGTCGAGGCCATCATGGCGCGCACGCGCCTCAAGAAGGTGACGCACACGCACCCGCACCCGCACACACACACGCACACGCACAGCAACACGCACGTGGCGAGGACGCCGAGCGGCAGGAGCGCGAGCGCGTCGCGCGCAAGCAGCGCGTCGAGGCCATCATGGCGCGCACGCGCCTCAAGAAGGTGACGCACACGCACCCGCACCCGCACACACACACGCACACGCACAGCAACACGCACGTGGCGAGGACGCCGAGCGGCAGGAGCGCGAGCGCGTCGCGCGCAAGCAGCGCGTCGAGGCCATCATGGCGCGCACGCGCCTCAAGAAGGTGACGCACACGCACCCGCACCCGCACACACACACGCACACGCACAGCAACACGCACGTGGCGAGGACGCCGAGCGGCAGGAGCGCGAGCGCGTCGCGCGCAAGCAGCGCGTCGAGGCCATCATGGCGCGCACGCGCCTCAAGAAGGTGACGCACACGCACCCGCACCCGCACACACACACGCACACGCACAGCAACACGCACGTGGCGAGGACGCCGAGCGGCAGGAGCGCGAGCGCGTCGCGCGCAAGCAGCGCGTCGAGGCCATCATGGCGCGCACGCGCCTCAAGAAGGTGACGCACACGCACCCGCACACGCACCCGCACACACACACGCACACGCACAGCAACACGCACGTGGCGAGGACGCCGAGCGGCAGGAGCGCGAGCGCGTCGCGCGCAAGCAGCGCGTCGAGGCCATCATGGCGCGCACGCGCCTCAAGAAGGTGACGCACACGCACCCGCACACGCACCCGCACACACACACGCACACGCACAGCAACACGCACGTGGCGAGGACGCCGAGCGGCAGGAGCGCGAGCGCGTCGCGCGCAAGCAGCGCGTCGAGGCCATCATGGCGCGCACGCGCCTCAAGAAGGTGACGCACACGCACCCGCACACGCACCCGCACACACACACGCACACGCACAGCAACACGCACGTGGCGAGGACGCCGAGCGGCAGGAGCGCGAGCGCGTCGCGCGCAAGCAGCGCGTCGAGGCCATCATGGCGCGCACGCGCCTCAAGAAGGTGACGCACACGCACCCGCACCCGCACACACACACGCACACGCACAGCAACACGCACGTGGCGAGGACGCCGAGCGGCAGGAGCGCGAGCGCGTCGCGCGCAAGCAGCGCGTCGAGGCCATCATGGCGCGCACGCGCCTCAAGAAGGTGACGCACACGCACCCGCACCCGCACACACACACGCACACGCACAGCAACACGCACGTGGCGAGGACGCCGAGCGGCAGGAGCGCGAGCGCGTCGCGCGCAAGCAGCGCGTCGAGGCCATCATGGCGCGCACGCGCCTCAAGAAGGTGACGCACACGCACCCGCACCCGCACACACACACGCACACGCACAGCAACACGCACGTGGCGAGGACGCCGAGCGGCAGGAGCGCGAGCGCGTCGCGCGCAAGCAGCGCGTCGAGGCCATCATGGCGCGCACGCGCCTCAAGAAGGTGACGCACACGCACCCGCACCCGCACACACACACGCACACGCACAGCAACACGCACGTGGCGAGGACGCCGAGCGGCAGGAGCGCGAGCGCGTCGCGCGCAAGCAGCGCGTCGAGGCCATCATGGCGCGCACGCGCCTCAAGAAGGTGACGCACACGCACCCGCACACGCACCCGCACACACACACGCACACGCACAGCAACACGCACGTGGCGAGGACGCCGAGCGGCAGGAGCGCGAGCGCGTCGCGCGCAAGCAGCGCGTCGAGGCCATCATGGCGCGCACGCGCCTCAAGAAGGTGACGCACACGCACCCGCACCCGCACACACACACGCACACGCACAGCAACACGCACGTGGCGAGGACGCCGAGCGGCAGGAGCGCGAGCGCGTCGCGCGCAAGCAGCGCGTCGAGGCCATCATGGCGCGCACGCGCCTCAAGAAGGTGACGCACACGCACCCGCACCCGCACACACACACGCACACGCACAGCAACACGCACGTGGCGAGGACGCCGAGCGGCAGGAGCGCGAGCGCGTCGCGCGCAAGCAGCGCGTCGAGGCCATCATGGCGCGCACGCGCCTCAAGAAGGTGACGCACACGCACCCGCACACGCACCCGCACACACACACGCACACGCACAGCAACACGCACGTGGCGAGGACGCCGAGCGGCAGGAGCGCGAGCGCGTCGCGCGCAAGCAGCGCGTCGAGGCCATCATGGCGCGCACGCGCCTCAAGAAGGTGACGCACACGCACCCGCACACGCACCCGCACACACACACGCACACGCACAGCAACACGCACGTGGCGAGGACGCCGAGCGGCAGGAGCGCGAGCGCGTCGCGCGCACACACACACTCGCACGCACGCACATAACATACATCGATTGAAATAACACAATAAAAGTAATGTAAATAAAAATAATATTAAGTACCCTAACATCAACAACAGGTCACCTAGTTGGGTATATTGCTGGCAATGGGGCCCTTAGTCTCTAATAATTACAAGAGGAATAACATCTGAGTCCTTAGGAATGGCAACGCATGGGGGGTATCATGGGCGAAACAGTATACTCTGTTATGTCCATGGTACTGCTCATGTCTATAGACGACCTTTACCACTTTCCATCAGGTGGGCCGTCAGCTTGATTGCCATTCTAAATTGTATAAAAAAAAACACCCAAACAAGGTTCATGCAAATGGCAATTAATTTATGTATTTTATATAACCTCATGATGCATAAATAAACTAATATACAGGGTGTAAGAGACAGGTTGGCAAAAACTGAACAGTGAATTCAGACCATTATTCTGAACTGAAAACAAGTGGAAATTCTTTTTGGAAACTTTTAATTGTTTTTCGTATTTTTTTTTTTGTTCATTTAAAATTATGTAATCTATGATATGTCATAATATAAAGAAATTATAATATTTTATAGTAAATACTAATAAACATAAAAAAGCAATATAATATACGTAATATACGTTTTGGCCAACCTGTCCCTTCCTTTCTGTATGAAGCTTCTAACGGAAAGTAATTCATTTCCATTAAATATGTCACCTAAAATGTAAGACAATATTCAAGAAACCATGTTTATGTTTACAGCAAGCGGAAGAAGACAAAAAGCAACAAGAAAAAGCCGCAAGCCAAGCATCAGATGCGCCGCCTGCATCTGAACCGTCTCAAACGCAAGAGACTAACTCCCAGCCGCCGCCGCAGCCTCAGCCTCAACAGCCACAGCCCGCGCAGCCAGCGGCCGCGCCGCAGCAGCACGCGGCGGACGCGCCCTCTAGTGGCGACAACGGGAACGCAGTAGTCACGGAAGATTTGTTAGGTTTTGGCACTAGTCAGGTGAGTACCAGGGTTGAACATAAGGATGATCACGAAGGACCAGAAATATTGAAAATTGTTCATTTGTTTTCGAAAATTAACAGATCCGACAGTCGGATATCTATACCCGTAGTAGTCGGATATCTATACCCATAATAGTCGGATATCTGCACCCATAGTAGTCGGATATCTATACCCATAACAGTCGGATATCTATACCCATAATAGTCGGATATCTGTACCCATAGTAGTCGGATATCTATACCCATTACAGTCGGATATCTATACCCGTTACAGTCGGATATCTATACCCATAACAGTCTAATATCTATACCCATAACAGTCGGATATCTATACCCATAACAGTCGGATATCTATACCCATAACAGTCGGATATCTATACCCATTACAGTCGGATATCTATACCCATTACGAGCAGTAAATGTGCTTCTAACAATTCAAATGTCTGTATTTACAGCCTGCGGAGCCGCCCGGCACTCAGACCGCGGCCACCAACAATGGCAACCTCACTGCCGACCTTCTAGGGCTGTCCGAACACAATAATGTATGTACCTATTTTTTTTAGATATAAAACTAAATAAATTTAAGTCCACCACAATGGCGATTAATTAATTATTATTATTATTTTATGTAGTATTAAATAAAGTGTCATACCATTATTTAATATAATAAATCAATAATTTATTCTAGATTGAGGACAAATCTGAAGAGCAGTCGACAGCCAACAAGCAAATAGACAACGCGCCAGCGCCAGAGACCAACAACGGCAACCAAACGACCAACGTTGGCCACATATCGGCCAACTTCATACAAACAGAACGCCTCAACGAGAGTCAAACAAAGGCCGACGTTCCCAAACTGATAGAGGACGACTTCACAACGCACAACGGCCACGGGGCACACAATCATCCGTTGACACTGCAAAATGCTATTTAATTACACGTCACTAGGGTTCGAAATTGAATGTTTTCATAGCGTACATATTGGCTGCTAGGTGGAGTGGCTTACGCGATCGAATGTGCGGTCCGGTAAAAGGTGATTTAAATTTGGAACAGGCGTAGGTACAATCAAATGTATATACGAAATTAATATTTATTACCTGTGAGTTGAAGGCGTTATTCCCATGATTTGGATGCATGGTTGACAAATATGATCCTTAATACGCACTGTATATAATATGAAACAATTTTAATAATTAATTTTATTAATCATATTGGCCCTAACATGGGAAATATCGCTTACTTACAATGACTATAAAGACGAGAATTGTGAAGCAAAACAGCATTATAATATAGCCATCTCCCAAAGGATAAATATATAAATTATTTTAATACACAATAATGCAATTATTAAAAATGAATATTTTAATCAACATTCACAGGATTTATAACGTTTTACGCTATATAGAGGACGCTAGATCTAGTTTTGATTTAATATAATATACGAACGGTGCCTTTGGTAGTTATTTTAGTTTAATTTTGGTGCTACACATTAACATAATTTCTGTTAATATCATTAGACAATATAGGAGAAATGTAAAAATAGTATAGTAGAAATTAATAAATCGCATGTCCCAAATTGAAAAAAAAAAATTCGATACAAATGTGGAATGACAAATCGTTTGTACGTGGAACGGAACGTGAAGCCAATATGGCGCCCTCTTACCGGTTTGTGAATTATACAGCCAATATCTATGCGTTGGAAACGGCGTGTTGGCATCTGCTACGCCGCTTGTGTTCGACGATACGAAACCTCCCAACTAGCTCACGATTACTGAAATAGCTTTTGTTTAAAACTAATAAAGCCTATATATATAAAATGGAGTTATAAAAGGCCAATTATGTATTTTAATCAACTGTTTGTACTTGTTTTGCTGAAAACACTTTCGTAACATTAAATTCCTCTGTAATAGCAAAAATAAACAAAATTAAATTGATTAAAACAAATAAAATAGGTGATTAAAAACACATGTTTATTGTATATTATTAATCAATTTGCTGTAATCATAAATTAAAATGTTTCATCTCTTTCTTTTAAACTAACGTCTTAATTTGAAAGAAAGAGATGGAAGACTGCAATGGGGATTATTCGTCGAATGGATGCTGTAGCAGAGAAGTAGAAGACACTAAATTATAATAATATAATTATTAATGCATTTATATTGCAACTCCTCGATTCTACGAAGATTGATAGCTTTTTTTAATTTGCGTATAGGCAATAACAAAAGGTATTCACCGCTTGACTTTTGAAATAGGGAATTATTAATGTTTTCATTATTAAAAAAAAATCTGTAAAGTTCGAAATGAACTGTGCATCATTTTTATGGGACTAGACGGGACATTGTTAGGCCTGCTCCATCTGTACAAACCGATTAACGTATCTGATTCAACCTTCGGGTGAATTTATATTTTTGTTTTTTTTTTTTTTTTTTTGCTTTTCATTCTCTCAAAATATTTAAAATTTTGTATTATCGCTCGTGAGAAATGTTATAAAAGTACATGTTGTATAGTTGCCATGTAACTGGCTATTAAATAATTTTAAATCGTTTTGAATGAATGGAAATATCATCTTTAGAGATCCGTTGGTTTGTTTGTAAAGATGTAGTGACTCCCTTGACAAATATTGAACATATTGAAATCTTTTCGCTGTTGTATGCACTGGATGCAACGAGATGGTGCTCGTTGCTGTCCCGTTGTGTATGTCTGCATGCAGTAGCGAAAACGTGTCTATCGTTATTTTAGTTTGTTTCTCGACGCGGGGAGGGGTCATTAATGATTCTCGTCAAATCATTGTTCACGTTTGATAGGTTGTGTATAGGAAGCTGTGCTAGTACAGTACTGTATTACTGTTATTTGTAAATTATATAAGTTTTTATTTATTGTGATGTTTTTATTAAGATGCCCTCGTCGGGATTGTTACAAATAATTGTAATGTCACAATTTCCTGACAAATTTATTTATTTCCATTTGTTATTTAATGAATTAATAAATAATAATAATTTATTCAACAAAAAATACAGATGTGTTATACAAAATATATATATTTATAATACTTATTGATCCTCAGTAAGTGTTTCCATGCTAGGAAAGTCCTGCCTTATAAGGCCAAAAGATTTTACGTAAGATTTGAAATTAAATTTAATATTCCTGTGGCCTCGTTACTTTACGCTTAGATTCTTGACCAAACAGACGTAAATTTTTCTAAATAGACCTTTTTCTATATACTTAAATAATTCCTCAAATATTCATCTGGTTTCTTTAAATGAAATAATTTCTCGAGTAAATAATGATGGAAAATCATCAAATTGGTCAGGAAATCGTGTCATTATTATATTAAGGACATCTTAAAAATGAAACTGCACGTGAGCCTAGCTAAAGAAACGCGTTGTTGCTTTATTATCAAATCGACCGCGACAGATATATAGGGAGGCTCGCGAGTGCGACCAGGATAGATATCATTTCAGAATTGCGTCCACATTTGCGTGCACAAGCTGCTCTATCGGACTGAGATTAGTATGAGAGTGGGCTTCTAATGCCATTGTAATCAGTGAGAAACCTAATTTGTTTCATATTAACAGTGAACTTGGGTCGATATTTAGTCATTTCAACGTGTTACGACCTTACAACGCCGATTGTGTTTAAGAAACAATAGGTTTAACGGATATAGCGTTTTTTCATACGAATGCTGTTTTAATGCAAACATAAATCGAGGTAATCGATTCATTGATCGATCGATCATCGGTAATAGAAAAGAGATAGCTATACAAGTGTAGTAGGCGTGAAGAGGACAGAGCTAGCTTTGTATTGATCAACACGTTCTCTGTCAAATTGACTCGTTTCTGTCAATCATTGTGAAATAAAGTCAATGTTTAACAGAAAATAGGCTGAAAATATAGTCTCCTAAATATATCAATCGTTAGTATAGTTTAGTTATCAAATTTGCATTAAAATGGTATTATCTTATTGCGAGCTATTCCATATTGTTACTAGGGATGGGTAATATATAGCAATATCTATATATTTTAGTTACAATATATATATACTGATCCAATAACGAATATGTTAAAAGTCTGTTATCCAAAAAATAATATTGGATAACAGACTTTTAACATATTCGAAAATAGATATCCGTTCGATATGGGCGATGACCTTTCCGCCATCAATGTCCAGAGAAACCCAATGTATAGATATCGAATCTATATTACCCATGCCTGATTGTTACTGTTTGATCTTGGATCATATAAAAAATGTACAAAAAATACTTTTAACAGCTAGAAAGAATGCTATACTGTCAGATAAACTTCTCAATACAATGAAATATGAGACGGTCGAATATTCGGGAAGAACTCGCAACAAGATGTCAAAAGAAATATGCTTAACAAATACAATAATAATTAATAAGTTATTTAACGACATGGCATAAATAATGTTTGTATCATAAGTAGTTAGCATTAAAAAAAAAAAAAATATATATATATATATATATATATATATATATTAATTATTATTTCTCTAATACATCCCTGTTTCCTCGAGTCCTCTATTGTTTGTTTTTTCATAGGGTTATATTATAATTGAATTTTCCTAAACTTCTTAACACATTGTTACGCAGATATGTGTAGCGACCGATGGATTTGTTGAAATCAATTCGTCGTATACTGAAGCTGTTTATATACTAAATTTGTGCTTTATGGAAAAACTAATGTATTTTATATACTGACCTATGTATCAAACGCTGTACTGTACATACGAGTATTGTATACAAAGCCATACATTTTGTATACATATGGTATATATGTATATATTACAGCGAAATGTCTAATGATTTGTTACACGTATCTTTGTAATGTTAGTCTCCGAACATTAATCAATACTTATTAATGTAGTAGTTATAACAAATTGTCACCGCTGGCTTGAACGCCAGTATTGTACTCCATGTTTCATAACACAGTAGGTTTTTCTAATAATATTTAACTGCAATAGAGCCTCGATAATTCAAACTGGGTAACAACGAACACTTCTTATGGAGCTGTAAGGATTGTAGTATTTTTATTAGGATTTTTTCTATGTACGTTAGTGAAAAAAAGTATGAATTTCCCAAAGAAAACTGCATTTATTTGGGGGACTTAATAAATTAGTCATAAAATAATATGTTTTGGTCAAAGCGATCCTATTTATTGAAAGAAATCTTTATAAGACATCAATTAGACATACTATGTAGAGACACGAAGCTTTGCACCTTGTTTCACCATGCGTACAGCCAACGAGTGGAAATCCTCTTGCTTAAGTTGTTCCATCCAAATGTAATCTGCACCAATTTAAGGAAAATGTGAATAGGCTATTCGTGAGCCCGCGAGCTTCATCTTAGACCACCTTTCACCGTTCACCATCAGGTGAGATTGTGATCAATCTCGGGACCCTTCAATTGTAAAAATTTACACTTTTTTTTCTTATATCAAATAGACATAATTTGTATCTGCTCAAATTATATACCATAGTTTGAGCGGCAATCATTCGATGGTGACATAATTTGTGGCTAATTTTTTTCGTATTTTTTTGTTTTCATTCTCAGTTCTATCATTTCCTTACAGTTCGAATTAAAACCGTTTGCATGAATCTAGATATCGGATTATCGGGGCTCTACTGTATTTCTGGAGCACAGTTAATTGCGAGAACGCTTCAAATCAATATAAATAATTTTGCAATGAACTGTGCTCGTCAGGAATTCAAAGCCTCACAGGCAGGTAGCAAGCGGGAGTAGTCATTACACCAACCCGTTGCTATTCTGTGTGTAGGCTTCTAAACGAATCATTACTTGTAATGTTCATGTTTATTACTCCATTTTTTTTCTGTAATTAAATTATGTCTTGACTATGTATTGAGGTCTTATGATTTTTTTTTTTTTATAATACGAGATTGTATGTTGATACATCACGGTGTATTGTGGCTGGCCGCCGTTATAAAATTTTCAATCGTAACATAATCTGTGAAATCCGATTAATATCAAATAATCGATTGTGTTGAACTAAATTTACTTGCCTTTAAATTGAAGTATTAGCTAATATTATGCTGTAAAGATGTTAATCCAAAGATGGGAGGTATTACAATCTTTAATTTTTCAACGATAATAAATAATTTTCTATTTGTATTATTGCAGAAAACAATTGTACAATTTGTTACAATAAATATATATGGCATTTTTTTAATGTTTATTAATATTAAACCAGTTTATTTGAGATATTGTTTAATTTATTACATTGCGGAGTTTTATTTCTCTAAAAAATGTTCAATAATGCCTAATAATATAATAGATTGTGTTACGGTGTACAAATTTAATGCTTTAGATGTTTTTAGTGCATACTAACCAATCACTAATGAAGTGACAGTTTTTTTTTTACGTTTTGACGTTAGCGAGTCTGTTGAACAAGATGGCGGTCTGTCACTCGCGTGCGTGCGTGCGTGTATGTGTGTGCATGACGTCACGGTGCGGCCCACACATTGGAAGGTTGTTTGTTAGCTGTCATCAAATTATATATAATGTATTTATGTATAACACTTTGAGATATGGCTTATTTGTTCTTCTTATCCTTACACTATTATTATTATGTTAGCAATCGATGGATTTATAAGGAGAAAGTTTTATTAAAAAATATGAATTTATTTTTCTTGTGTTATTTACTTTACCCACTCTGTGTAACACGTTTGTATATTTAATACTAGTTTAGATTTTTTTTTTTAATATTCCTACACTAAGATCGTGTTCCCTTTACCTACCGAATCACGTCTGAGGGCTGTGTGTGTGAGAAGAATTTTTACGCAACCTTCATTACACTAGAAGGATTATGATTTAACTTTCCCGACGACGGCTTTACGTGCCTTCCGGAACAGGAAATAAGTGATAATCCTTTTTAAATTATACAAGTGACCAGCCCCGGTTTTTATTTAAATAACACAGCCCTACCGTTACGTTACTCGTTGATAATGTAATTCTGTATAAATGAAAGAATCATTAAAATCGGTTCATTATTTTTTTTTTATTTTATGGTAAACGAACGAAAAGTGTTTCATTTTTATAATATTTTATATAAACAATTTGTTTTCTAATGCCTATCCCAAGAAACGAGTGGATGATATAGACTTTATGCGCAGCGATATCTGAAAAACTTTTTTTATACCACTGTGGTGGCAAACAAGCATACGGCCCACCTGATGGTAAGTGGTTACCATAGCCTATGAATACCAGAGGTATTACGCGTGCGTTGCCGACCCTGAAGAAACCTCTTTACCCCCCTTTTGAAGAACCCCATGCTGTAGTCTTTTGGGAAAACCTCGGCAGGGAGCTCATTCCACAACCTGAGTGTTCGTGGGAGGAAACATCTCTGAAACCGCGCAGTACGCGACCATTGAGGCTGTAGGATATGAGGATGAACTCCCTGTCGATGGCGAGCCGAAAATGTCGTAAAGTAAATACATGTCTGAAAATAACACCTAGTTCATTAAAACAAGGCCTCCATACAAGCTTTGCCAGTAGTTGTCACTCTTGGCAGGCAGGTTAACAACCGCAATTAGACTTTGGTGGTCTTTTAAGAGCAACGCTACTCTCTAAGCCATTAAGTTCTCTTAATCACCTCTTACGACACCCACGGGAAAGAAAGGGGTGACCCATTCTATACCGGGACCACACAGTGGAATAAAAACATGTATAAAATCCCTTTTTTAATTTTCAATGGCTTGGTACTGCTTATGTCTATAGGCGACGGTTACCACTTACCATCAGGTGGGCCATCAGCTTATGTGCCATTCTTAGTTGTATTAAAAAAAAAGCTTAGTAATCAAAAACATTGAAATTTGTTAAAACCTTTTTGAAAATTCATAATATTTTTTTTAATGGATGATAATGGAATGGTAACCCCACCCGCGCTAACAGTATACACTGGCGGGGCAACAGTGAAGGATGACAGATGATGAAGTAAGTAAGTTAGCCCATTGCGACGACGATGGTTTCCAGGGGAACCACGTGGAGGTCGACCTAATGAGGCATATTGCTAGCAATAGGGCTGTCAAACTCCATTGCTACCAATCCCTTTTCCCCTTAATTCGTTACGAACACTCATGAAAGATAGTGATTAATTTTATTTCTAGGTGTCTTATATTTTTTAATAGAGTACTTACATTTCGTCCTGCGAATCAAAAAACACGACTTGTCATCTCTCAAATCAAACTACCTACTTATTATATATATATATATATATATATATATATATATATATATATATATATATATATCTTCAGGCACTAATAAGTTATGATGAAATATACTCCCCATAAATACGGGAACTGAAATCATTGCACTTCTTTTTGGTCAGTTATGTAAAATTGCAACGTTTCTTCACAAAAATAATACTGTAAAGATATTTATAAACTGCTTCTTCCATTATTTTTACACATTCATTAATGCATTAACAAGTATATAATAACATTAATGTCACATCAAATATTTACCTATCTGATGTAACGAATCATTGATATTCTAATAATAATTGACGACAGATGTCGTAGCACTTACGCACCGCGATCCCGTGGGATTCGGGACATGCCTTTCTCTACTCTCGAGTCTCGAACAGCCATTATGTATAACTTAATTATATTATGTTTGCTTAGCAAAGGTACTTAGGAACTTCTGTGGTCGGTTTTACGATGAAATATAAGTAGGTAAGGTTTACTTGCTATTGAAATGAAAATTATTATCAAATTGAATGGAATGGACGTAGCAATGTGGTATGAAGGTGTATTCCACTCCTCAACATAGATTCTTGCTTCATAAATTTTTCCACAAATTTTTGCACGGCTGTGTTTTGGTTTGAAGGGTGGAATATGGCGTGAATTTACTGGGTACAGAGGAATAACACCTGAATACTCAGGAATGGCAACGCATGGGGGGTATCATGGGCGAAACAGTATACTCTGTTATGTCCATGATACTGCTCATGTCTATAGGCGACGGTTACCACTTTCCATCAGATGGGCCCTCAGCTTGTTTGCCATTCTAAGTTGTATTAAAATAAAGCACTGCTCACGTCTTTGAACAGGAGCACCTCAATATCAACTCCTTCCTCTTTTTTTTAATGGATGAATGGATAACATGTACGAGGTAGAAATGAACAAGATACACGGTAAGTGGTAGTATCCCACATACCCAAGAAATGGGCATAAACTTCAGCACTATAGCGAGAGGTACGGTAGTAAAAGTATAATGAAGGCATCAGGTCATCATATGACAATATGATAAGGCCTTGGATATTCCAATTGTACAGATAAAAGAAACTAGATAAACAAGCAATATCCCGCCTTAAACTTAAGGAATCCAAACCGTCCGTTAGCATGGGATCGTCAACCACTCGATCCACTCGACGCTGTGTTAAGTAGAACATGAAGTCAACTGGGAGTAACCCATTGTGCTGAATTCTAGGCCTATTCATCACGTTGTATTAAATGATCACCTATCATCTCTCACTGGAGTCCCGCCAGCGTATACCGTTAGCGCAGGTTACCATCACATCATCATCCATTAAAAAAAACATTATGGTTATGTTTTTTTTTACAAAATTAGCACAATTACGTGATGGTAAATACTTAAATGAGACAGCGGTCCCCATGCAAACGACATAAAAAGTTCGTACAAATTCTGCCTCCGGCAAACATATTATTCAACAAAACACAAGTCTTTATAATAAATTAATACTTTAACTAGATAAGAAATGTATATAATACTTAATTAGGTGATTTATTCCTTAACTCTATTTAATTTTTAAATAAACATTTCCTTTTAGGCAGGCCGTATGCCTAATTACCATTGTCGGTATTTAATGCATAGAAACAACCCTAATAATTTGGGTGATTTTCAGCAAATGTAATCCCCGTCTAACTGCGATGGGCCTTTCAACTATGCTTTGAAATTCAATTCTCCACAAAAGTCCTCCACAGATGTCCTTAAAACATAGTCATTTTATAAAATGCTTTCTGGACATCAACTCTTCTGAAGATTTTATCATGAGGAGTTTTCCACCGTGCGTTTTTCAAGGCACTTTCTTCCACGCACAACCACTCTTTGGAATCAACTTCCAGCAGCAGTATTTCCGAACCGATACGACAACATAACCTTCAAGAAAAGAGTATATTCCTTTTTAAAAGGCCGGCAGCACACCTGCAATGCCGCTGGTGTTGTGGGTGATCATGGGCGGCAGTAGTCACTTACCATCAGGTGAGCCGCATGCTCGTTTGCCCCCTGCGTTGTAAAAAAAAGACTAAAAGAAAAACACCAAAATTAGACAGAAATGTGACACTTACTGAAAATCACTCATTTACGTTGTGTCTCATCTAAATTCCTTCAATATTCCATCTGATAAAAATTCTAACTAATGCTAATTTATACTTTTTATTTTCGTTATCATATTGTGTGGGGGAGTTTTATTTTCAGAAAGGGTTACAATTCCTTTAATATTTTTAATTAATTTTTATTGAATTGTTATAAAAAAATGCCGCCCTTTATCCGCATTTTAATTTTATAAACTTTTGTTTTTCGTATTTTTTTTTCAGAGATCAAAATGAAATGATAAATTCGTTTGTACTGACAATTCAAGTCAGTCTATGGTGACGTATTAGCCAGGAATTAATCACGATGGATTCACGAGATTAACGTTATTAGCGTATGTTTTATTGTTAGCATATTTTGTAAACAATATTAGCGGACCCTTTTGTAAATAACTAGTTGTTGCCCGCAACTTTTCACGCGTAATGCCATGTTTCTCCTTTAAATTGAAATTTTAAAAATCCTTTCCTAGCAGATCATTACACTTAGACGGAATACTCGTCAAATACTTTTTATTATTTGGAATTCCATATCAAATAATTACAAATCAAAAGCAATTTTTTTTAAACAACTTAGAATGGCAAACAAGCTGACGGCCCACCTGATGGAAAGTGGTAACCGTCGCCTATAGACATGAGCAGACATAACATACTGACATAACAGAGTATACTGTTACGCCCATGATACTCCCCATGCGTTGCCATTCCTGAGGACTCAGGTGTTATTTCTCTGTACCCAGTAAATTCACGCCATATCCCACCCTTCAAACCGAAACACAGCCATGCAAACACAACTGCTTCACGGTAGAAACACGAATGGGACAGAGGTACCCAAGCAATCGACTTTTGTATAAAGTCCCAAAGTAATTCAAAAAAGAACATATTTAAGTATCGCGAAACGTGCGTGGACTGAATAGCAGTCAGAGATTGATGACTAATACATATAATATATGTGTATATAAATATTGTTACTAACAAATATGGACCAAAAAAGTCCGAAATAATAAATTATTATTAATATGAAAGATTGTAAAACTTCTGGTAATAATAATAATACCAGAGGGAGACTTTGTACAAAAGTCGTTTGCTTGGGTACCTCTGTCCCATTCATGTTTCAACCGTGAAGCAGTTGTGTTTGCATGGCTGTGTTTCGCTTTGAAGGGTGGGATATGGCGTGAATTTACTGGGTACAGAGGAATAACACCTGAGTCCTCAGGAATGGCAACGCATGAGAGGTATCATGGGCGAAACAGTATACTCTGTTATGTCCATGGTACTGCTCATGTCTATAGGCGACGGTTACCACTTTCCATCAGGTGGGCCGTCAGCTTGTTTGCCATTCTAAGTTATATAAAAAAAAATCAAATCTCGATTGACACTCTCACGCATAGTAATGGTAGCGGAATTAAACAAAATAGTTGATTAGAATTCAACTAACCAGTGATACGGATTTATGCAAAATAAGACGTACTTTAATAAATATTAAAAAAAATATTAATTTATATAAGTTAATAGATATGTAAGAAAAGAAACTTGTGAAAGTGTGTTTGTAAGTATGTGGGTATACCTACATCTATATAACTGACCCAAACATAAATTCCTCTCTTGGCTTTACCTAAACTGTTTTCTTTTCCACGTTCGCTGAAAAGTAACGGCTCGAACCTTTGACAATAATCCGTTTCCCTTCAACATACATATTTGTCCCACAAAAACATTTACTTTCACAAACTCTGAATGGAGTCTATTTTTCTAAGATGTTCACTTATTTATTTTAATGAATCACACACAAACCACGGAGTTTATCGTAGCCTATGAACGCCTGCAATACCAGAGGTATTACGCGCGCGTTACCGACCCTAAAGAAACCTCTTTACCCCCTTTTTGAAGAACCCCATGTTGTAGTCTCCTGGAAAAACCTCGACAGGGAGTCATAACCTAAGCGTTCGTGGAAGAAAACATCTCTGAAGTCACGTTGTATGCAACCATTTAGGCTCATACCCTGTATGTTGTACGCTGTAGAAAGTGGCCGTGGACATCATGTTGAACAATTCCTCTGAGCACAGTTCGTTGTACAAGTGGTAGAACACGAAGAGTGAGGCTAAATCTCTCTTAAGACTCAACAGTTCGATAAAAAATCGAAAAAAGAAAAATAAATTTACTTTCATAGTAATCGTAAGTTGATGGTAGGACAATATACGAATATCTGTCACGCCTGTCTTCCATTAGGGTAGGCAGAAGCAATAGAACACTAAACGCTTCGATTCAAACAAACCTCTTTCGCTTCCTCCACATTCATCTGTCTTTTCATAAACCATATATGTGTATATATTATGGTTTATCAAAATTTGTATATTTACATTTGCAATGTGTGAGTAAATTGTTTTGATGTATAAATTATATTTTACTTACACAGATAGATAGATAGATAATTTATTTACATATTTGTTTACTGTGGGTTTATAATTTGATCATACTGTATAGGTATGCATATTTTTGGAGGGTTAACTTGAACAATACATTATTGTATCATACAAAATAATATAACATTGTTAAATCTCTACAATGTGGACCTATTGAAATAAAATAAACGCTCCCCGATTACGGGTACTTTTATTTATATATATGTATATGTAATCAACAGGCCAACTTTATTTTTATTATAAGAGTTTCTAAATTATTTATCATTTTGGCTCATGTTTTGTAAAAAATATTTAGTTTCGCTGTTAAAAGGTTGCTTTTTTTTACTAAGAAGTCGCAAAACACAGGGGATAAAAAAGGAATGAGAAGACCGAGGAATAACTACATGGGACAGATAAAGGAAACACTAGGTGTCATATCGTATAGGTCAAAGATATGGCCTGGAAAAGAGCTCTTTAGAAAGGAATGCATGAATTAGTTATCCCGACAAAAGGATGCTAAGGATTTAAAATTTATTTGTGTATCCTAATACTGTGTAAGGGCGGGGGGGGGGGGGGAAGGGATTGTTAGTAATGGAGACTGAGAATCCCATTACTAGCAATATACCCAACCAGGTTGACGTCCTCGCGGTTCTCCCTGAAAACTATCATGGTTAATTCCTGATGAATTCATCATGATGGGCTAACTGGCCTGTTTTCATTCTCATCTATCACCCTTCACTGGTGCTCCGCCAGCGTATCCCGTTAGCACAGGCCGGGTTACCATACCTTTTTCATCCATCAAAAAAAATACTGTGTAAAGAATTTATCTGGGTATTAAATAAAAATTGTCGAATGTAAACTATAATCATTTTATCTAAATTGTCTTTGCCAACTGCTCTTCCGTTTCCGGTCCGGACAATGAAACTAAGTAATCGAGTTACGGCATTATAAACATGGTCCTACACGGTTGCCCGTGTGCAAAACTTTTAAGTTACTCAGCGAGCTATGGAGAGGGCTATGCTCGGAGTTTTTTTGCATGATAGAATCCGAAATGTGGATATCCGCCGATGAAGCAAAATGACCGATAAAGCCCGAAAGATAAGCAAGCTGTAGTGACTATGGGTTGGACACATAGCTCGAAGAATCGACAACCGATGAGGATGAAAGGCTTTTAAAATTGAGACTCCGTAACGCCAAACGCAATGTAAGATGACGCCCCACTAGATGGAGTGACGATATCAAATGCATTGCAGAGAATCAGTGGATGCAGATGGCTCGGAAACGTTTCTTATAGCAATCTATAGGGTAGGTCTATAGGAGAATGTTTAGCAATGGGCAAATAACAATATAAAGGTCGTAAGTGTAAAATATTTAAAAGTGGTCATTTAAATTCTATCGTAAATAATACACTACTAGCAAATCGGCAACTGCATTTATTATATTACATATTCTTCATGATAGAGTCACTGTTAATATTACATTTAAATGTTACAATGTTACATTTTGCCAGCCTTTACAAAATGCATTTGGATATTCATTAGTAACATCATAGTATAGGTACAATACGCATTAACTATCTATAACATAAGAATAAAATAACATTAGATATATTTTAGGTAGTTACAATTTTTATTATAAATTATAACAGGTAAGTGTACATATATATTTGAGAGTCGATCTATATATTTTTAGAAAAATTGCATCCAAAAAATCTTTCAATAATTTTTTTATATATATAATTTTCAACATCGTAATCAGAGACATTTCAAGATCTATATTAATTGAAAATTACTCTCCAAACTATCTACTTAACACCTACTCGAGTCACTGACTTTTTTTAACAACAAGATAAACTTTTTCATTTTTTTATTAGAGACAATAGAAAAATCTACAAAAACTAATTATAAAGATTAAATTATAAAAATAAATACTTCTCAGGCCACGACCACACTGGTAAGCTTCGCAAAGCGACAAAACATATATTATGGAAATAATTAAAAACTATATATATTTATACTGTAAGCCTCACAATTTTAAAATAGATACTTTAAAATGTTAATGTACGTTTAAAAATTTGTATGGATTCGATCTAGCAATGAAATCGAGTTATCAAATTAGTTAAAAATCATACAATTCGAAAAGAGACCTGAATTCTACAGTGCTTGAAAGTTATTTTACAAATTATACTTACAAAAAGCTGAAGAAAATACACGTCCAAAATTGAAAATAAAGACTTACTTGAAAATAATTAAAAATTAGTGAGATCTAGTCCACCTATTTCATCCCAGAAAAATAAACTACATTCAGAATAAATTGTATTTATAAATTCTCGGAATGTCGCACGCGAGTAAATGGTAAGTGACAAGATTTCGCTTACGATCTTCTTTTCCGGATAGTATTTTTATTGGTAATTCTGTGCAACTTGAAATATGAAGTACCAATAAATCCATATTTCCAGATTTGACGCGCAGTTTGACCTGGTAATACTAATAACTTGCATTAGTTCACATAAAATTCCGCGGAGCGGCGCTACAAGTACGATTTTAGTCGCTTATTACGACTCCAGTGCGGTCGCAGCCTAACAAATTTGTAATATAATTTTCTCTAACGCAGTATACTGACTAGATAGAACTTATCCAACGGTACAACGTCAGAATAAGCCACTTATATTTAAATTGGCAAGGAATCCATTATGTTATAAGGATATGTAGATGTCTTAACAGGATTAAAGGAGACAGCATAATAATTGAAACGTATTGAAGACACTTAATTCGGCGTTTCCATTTCGGGGCTCGCATCTGTAAAGGAAAGGGTCATGTTAATATTTTTAGCCGACTTCAAAAAAGGTATAGGTCAATTCAGTTGTATTTTTTATGTTTATCACCTCAGAACTTCGTCATTTGTATACCGATTTGAAAAACTCTTTTTTATCTGAAAGGTTTCACTTTTAGTTTGGTTCTATAGAAATTTTAACGAAATCGGTTCAGTAGTTAGTTTTAAAATGAAAATAGCTGGTTTTGCAAAAGTTGACGTTGGTTTTTTTTTTTTTGTGTTTTATTTTCACAATCTATTATTTTCTTCTGTTTTTTCGTGTTTCTCCCGCCAAGTATGTGCTTGCTTGCTACAAGTATATTTTGGTATGAAGGTGCAATATTTCAATATGGCAATGAAATTAAATATTTTTTTGATATCAATGGTATAGCATATCCGTAGGCGACACTTACAACTTTTTACGAAGTCATTTCAAAGCATGCATATAAAATCTCGAGAACTCTTTGCTAAATGCAACATTTCTAAAATGACTATTCAAAAATGCTTAAATCTAAATTTACTTAATTAATTTTTTTTTTTCTTTTTTACTTTCTATTTGCACTTTTAAATAATATAAAAATTGTCTACTTAATGCGTAATTTAAAATATTTGAGTTTAGAACTTGTACAAGTATATGCGCATTTTTTTTTTTCAATAAATAACTTTTAGCTTAGCAAAAAGATTGGGTAAAAATGAAGAAAATAATTTCGGATAAGAGAAAAAAAATATTTGACATTTGGTTAATAACTGAAGAGCGCATCTGGCAACCCTGGCGTTTGCAACATAAATAACCTATCTAAATAAGGAAATTTCATTACAAAACACGTTTTATCAAATATTCATAAAACTTTCATTTATACATATATATATATATATATATATATAAATACTGATTGTTAAAGGGTATAAATGCTTTGTACAATCACAGCGTGTGTACGATGTATGAAACACAATTTTATCATACGTGACCAATTATATCCGACGTCATAAAGAAATGAATGGAATATTTTCAGAAATTCCGGTGAAGCTTTATATACCTGTGTACCGGTATAGCACTTCGTCGAATTATTGTATAGAATAGAAAATACTCCAAACAATCCTTATTAATATTGTAAACTAGCAACCTGCCCCGGCTTCGCACGGGTGCAATACTGATACTAAATAGCGTCGCATTATTTGCCCACCCGACATTATTTTAACCTATCTCATACGATTTAACCAGCGTTTGCAATGTAAGCGCAAAAAAATGTGTGTATGTACGACATCACATTAGAAACTTTTAAATTTATCAGTGTTTCCCTACAATATTATATATATATATTTCATGTATTATATTTCACTTTTGTGAATGAAATTGTAATTTTATGATTATAAATAATATGCCCCAAATTTTCTGGCTCTAAAATCTGGTTACGCTCCAGACTCCAGCCTACTCAGCCTATTGGTGTCCGCCGCTGCCCGTGACTGCTTTTACGTAATCCGGATATGTTAATTGACAAGTATGCCTATGTCCTCCTCCGTTCCAAATGCTACATGTATATTAAATTTTATAACTATTGGTCGAGCCGATATCCTTAACAGAGACATCAGGTCACAATCTCAATTTCACATATAAGTAACACATAAAGTATCCTATGTTCTAAGTATAATCTATCCGTACAGGGGGGAAGAAATTGTTAGTTATTTGGACTATCAGTCCCATTGCTAGCAATACACCCAGTCAGGTCGACCTTCACGTGGTCTCCCCTGGAAACCATCGTTCTGAATTCCAAGTGTATTCGTCACGATGTGCTAACTGACCTGTCTTTTCATTCTCACTTGTCATCCGTCACTGGTGCTCTACCAGTGTATAGCGAAGGCGGGACTACAATTTATTAAAAAAAATATATCCGTACACGGATTTATTATACTTAACTTAGAACATAATATACCTTATTATATTATTTATTTCTTATACATATATTTCATTTAATTTTGTTCAGTAGTTTTTGCATAAAAGAGTAACAAACATCCATTCATTTAAACTGTGCAAGCGTTCTCATAAACTTTCCCGTTTATGACAGTAGTAGAATGATTATTAAAGGATTTTGTTCCACAAAAACTAGTGAGTTTCGTGCAGCAAAAACGATCAGTCACTACCAGTCGTGACAAAATAAATACACGACCATAATATTAGTAATTAGCAGAGTTATTATCTTCTAATTGCAATAATAATTAAAGAAATCTTAGAATCAACGAAAATATTGTAAAGTAATATGTTATTATAGAAAGTATTGGAAGGAGTCGGAGGAGGCCTTTGCCACAAGGCACTCTGTGCTACGAGATTTAATTTGATGGAAATAATAATGTATACAACATATAATTTTAATAATTTAATATTATTTATTTTATAATTTAATATTATTTATTTTATTTTAATAATATAATTTTACAATTTTATTATTTATAAAATATATATATAATTATAATATATAATTTATTTTAGTGAAAAAAAAAATGTATGCATGCAATATTAATTAAAATCACAAAGCAAATTTTGTGTAATATTAAGCACAGAATAAAGGCTCCTTTATCTTTATTTAATATATTATTCTAATAATAATGTTATAATTATTTATATATATATATATATTCATTATATATTTATATATATTCATTGTAATATTATCTTGTAAGACTACATAACAAAATATAAATTTAAATTAAAATAATTAACTGTAATTATAATTAATAATGTATTGCTAAAAAAACTGGCAAACTGATAATTTAGTTTCTCTTTTAAATATCTCTATAAATGGTTAAAGAATAACTTTTGAGTAGATAGATACATTTTAATTTGCGCTAGTATCTATTTATTTCTATTACGTACGAAGGTAATGGAGATAATTCAAAAGCCCATTTCTCTACCATTAAAACAAAATTTTTAGTTTATTACAACTGAATCATTATTCTAAGGATCAGTGTGAACTAATAGATTAGGGACAAAACTATGAGTATTTATGCTTGCTGGTTTAAAATCTAAGAATTTTTAAGTATCTACTTCCATTAATTCACTTTGTTTATTCCTTTATTGTCTTATCTCATTTAGTAACTTATAATTACTTTGAGCTGGTATCCAACTTTATGCTACAAGTACATTCTTTTGGCAAGCCTACAGAACCGAATGCTAATCACCTCTATTTTATATGAGTAGCTAAAAAGTAAAAAATAACATTCCTTTTTAACGCACTTACTTAAAAATAAATCTTAATTACGTCATAATAAGGGTCAACAACTCACCGTCGATCCATTTCTTGCCTCGCATCCCAAAAAATCCCATCTGAGCCTTCCTTTTGGGCCACGGTCCGTTCAGTAAAAACTTTACTTCTTGCGCTGCGCTGTTTTTGGTGTCCTTTTTGCCTCGTACCCCTATGAATTTACCGCGAAACGTCAAATCGTAAGGTCGTTTATCTTGAACTGATTTCTTTCCCCTCACACCATAAAACTGATGCATGTTGGCAGCTCTTTTGTCCACTTCGTTCGTGATCCTCTCATTCGTTAGCTCGTTGTCGACAGTCGCTTCTGTGACAGCTTCGGGTCGCTCGAGCTTCTGCAAATACTCCGTGAGGAAGTCGTTTAAAACTGGGAATTCATTTTCGTCAAATTGCCGCGTTTCGTCGCTAGATGCGTAATCAATTTGACCGATTAGCGACCCATCACGCTTCGGGACGTACTCATAACTGTCTGGGTAATACAAGTTAGGGATATATGATTCTTTCTTCCCTCTCATGCCCACAAAACCCATTGGCGCTCGTTTATACTCATAGTTCTCTAACGCTTCTAAGAAGCTCTTTTTCCCTTTAACCCCAACAAAGAACTGTGGTCTCCGCTTATAGAACTGTTCTGATGACGCCGAGTCGTATTTCTTGCCACGCATACCGAGGAAACCTTTGGGAACACGCTTCTCGATATCTTGCGCTGATGCGGCGTATATTAAGTGCATGGTGATGAAGAAAAGACAAGTCCTGGACGTGCCCATTGTGAGGTGATCTGAAACAAATAAAAGATAAATGTTACCACTTTGTCTTGTGATGATTATATAGAAATGAGATAGGACAGAATAACACTTGTTGCCAGCAATAATACAAATACCTACATACATTCTTTTCTTACATTAGACAATAGAGACTGATTTAGCTGATACTGTGTGTTACAATACGATGTGTACAATAGCACAGCTCTGGGTATCAGCCAGTCCCTCTGTTAGTAAAACAAATTAAAACATAAATGGATTTATTTTTAGGGATTTTATAATAATTTTCATGCATTTTGTAAAAGCAAATAAGTTGACGATCTATCCGACAGACAGTATAGAGAAAATAAAAACATTGCAACTGTTTAAATATATACATAGAGAATTTGTTTTAAATAAAAACTATTATGACATAAATAATTATATGAATAATAAAACATAGTCCAAGTGTAAATGCATTTGTAAATTTGTTGCCGATATTATTTATTTATTTATTTATTTATTCTTTATTGCACAATAAAATTTTGTATAAATGGCGAGCTTAATGCCATATGGTATTCTCTACCAGCTAACCATTGGGTAAAAACAGAAAGCGTATGAAGGGCAGATATGGTGAAAAGTATGTGACAATTATAGTAACACATTAAGGCAATACACAATATAAATATAATATACACATAAGAAATGCACATATAATACATAAACATTACTTTTAATATATATGGATAAACTAATACATAAGAAATATATATATATATATATATATATATATATACATAAATTAAAACAACGATAAGCATTATGAGATATAATAACTATTGAGTAACCTGTGTCTAGAGCTGGTTTTGTTGACTCAACAAATAATTAAAAAGTCTTCTTTTAAAAATATCTTTACTTGATGCTCTGCGTAGATCTACAGGGGTTTTATTCCAAAGGCTGATAGCGGTGACAGTAAAAGAATTGGACATAAATCTTTATATTATCTTCTTAATGTAACTTTTATAATGTGCCCACATATTTATTGTTAAAATAATTTGCATATATTTAAAAACATTTTAAAAAACATTTAATGACCATTTAATATTACATTATATTAATCAGAAATAGTAAAAACATTGATAATAAGAACTGTATGATTATTGAAGGACCAAATGTGCATTAAGGTAGAAGCAAGTGACAAACGTGTTATGAGATTTCTAACTATAATATTTTTGACGTAATCGCGTATCTTGGACCGAGTCATGCTCACTATAATATCCCGATTGGTGACGCTGTGGTAGGCCGAGTTGCCTCCCTGTAATATGGTTGAACACAACGATGGTTGGCTCATCCGTCATACTCGTGAACGGGTGCTTCTAGTAGGGACTAGTCTGTTCAAGAATATTGTGATTGCTTTGTAGTTTTCCTTTCTTTTTATTAATACAAAGTTCGTGATAGTCATTTTATCCATTCACACTATTGTTGTAAACTTAACTTTTCTTTGAAAAAAAAAGCAACAGCTGAGTTTCTTGCCCATTCTTCTCAGGTAAAATTGCATTCCGAACTGGGCAGTGGGTCAATAACTATTCAAAAATGCCTATAATTAAGTCTACTTAAATAAAATTATGTATTATTATTAATAAATAAGAAAATATTTTATGCAAGAAAAAAATAAATGTCTAAAATAAAAGACAATGCATTGATTGAATCCTTCTCTAAATAACCGTGTACATTGCAGTTTTCTCCGGCGAATGCTCAGGTTGTGGTATGAACATCTTGCCAGAATTTTTTCTTAGAGGCATTTATAGTATGGGATTCTCAAAAAGTGCGTAAGTACTAGGTAATGTTTCTTCAGAATGGACAACACAGATGACAACTCTAGTGGTGGAGGTGGTATTTTTTTTACTTTTAATTTAATCAACCGTTAACTGTCCATTGTTAAACACTGACCTTCCCTATACCAGGAGCTTTACCAGTAGTTGCTACGCTTGGTAGGCTTTGGTGATGTTTTAAGAGAGGCGCTGCTGCCTATTCCTCGACCATTAAGTTTCCTCACTCGGCTCTTACACCCACGAGAAAGGAAGGTGAGATTTACTATATGCCGAGACCATACGGTATTTATTTTATTTATTTATTTAACACTTTATTGCACCAACATAACAGGATTTGTTGAACAATTTTCAATACGTATAGTGTAGTACAAAAAGCGGTCTTATTGCTAAACAATCTCTTTCAGACAACCTTTGGGTAGAAGGAATTAAAGCATAAATAGGTAGGTGGCACGTTAAAAGAAATATATTTGTAAAAAATAATATCTGTGACAGCATAGTCATATACACATACATAAATAAACACATACATCCAAACATATACATATATATATATATATATATACATACATATATAAATGTATATACATACATACATATATACATACAGGTAGTTTAATACATAGGCAATATATATCACCTTTTATCATTCGACTTATTGGGCTTGCTTGATTGTTATCTTTCTTTTATAAACAAGTTTAAAATTATTTATTTATTTATTTAACTCTTTATTGCACCATAAATAAAAATATACAATGACAAGTGAATAATTCAAATGAAATACAGTAACATAAATACAGATTGAAATATACACATAAAGGTACAAAAGGCGGTCTTATCGCTAGGGCAATCTCTTACAGACAACCTTTAGTTAAGGGAGAACAGATAGAAAATTACTTTAGGATTGCTGACGAAATTTTTAAAAACAAGACACGGTCCAAGGTTGTGGGTACATAAATCAACTCACTACACGTGACGCTAACACGCTTGGCGCCTCTCCCCTGGGGGCAGCAATTGTATGCATAACCCCTTATGTCACGAGAGTCACGCTTGACGTTTGGTAATTACGCGTGCTCGGGACCCGTCGCGTGGAATAATAAGAGGTCGGTAGAGTCGGCAAACATGTGATCATTCCGTTTTTAAAACTCATTAGCCACCTTTACTGTTGATTTTTTTAATGGATGCTAATGGAATGGTAACTCCGCCTGCGTTAACTGTATACGCTGACGGGAGACCAGTGAGGAATGATAGGTGAGAATGAAAAGGCAGGCCAGTTAGCCCATCGTGATGAATTCGCCTGGAATTTAACACGATTGTTGTCAGAAGAATCACGTGGAGGTCCAGCTATTTGGGCATATTGCTAGCAATAGGACTGGTGATTCACATTACTAACAATCCCTCCCCTCCCCCACTTTATCAGTGGTAGGCAGATATAATGAAATATATGATTTAAATATAATATACTCTGTTATGTCCATGATACTGCTCATGTCTGTAGGCGACGGTTACCACTTTCCATCAGGTGGGCCGTCATTATATATATATATAATTTAAAAATAACGTATAATTTACCAAAGTACCAGGACACCATACTGATCATCATTTATAAGAAACAGGAATTAACGCAGTCATTCAGGTACGGCTTCCCATGAAATGTTTTCAGAAATTTCGGAACGGAAAGGAAGACAAATTTGATGTTCAAATTACATGATACATAACATTTTAAAATATTAAAAAATATTATCACTACATAGTATAAAACAAAGGCGATTCCCGTCTATCTGTCCCTATGTATGCTTAGATCTATGCAATGGATTTTGAAGCGGTTTTCTTTAATAGATAGAGTGGTTCAAGAGGAAGGTTTATATGTATAATACATGCATAATATAGTGGAGAAACACTGATAATTTTTAGAGGTTTCTAATGTCATGTTATAATGTAATAGAGGACCGGCGGTTCTATTGCAGCATTGCACTCATGCGAAGCCGAGGCGGGTTGCTAGTATATTTATAATATTAACAAGTAAAGAGTAAGAATAGTGGCCACTTAGAGCGCTTCAGGCAGGCCGTACACTTAATTGCCACCCTCACTGCTTTCACTATATAAACAAAAATCATAAACAAAACGCAATTAACCTTTATAAAAATACCGTCCGCTGCCTACAAAAAAATAATTAAAGAAAAAACAGTGGATGACACTTTTGAACTACGTCGCGTTACCTGAGTGGGCGATAAAGACAGACAATACGGGCGTTCTATGCGAACGAGCGAGACAGCAGACACTCCTAATGAGCGCCTCTGTCATCCCTCATCAAAGTTTAAAAGCTATTGTGATGATGCGAGTAGAAAAGTCGCAAGTTTCTTGTCAGTAATCAGACCGTGCATGATAGGATTTCTATAGTCTATCTAACCTTTGTCTTGTTAAAAGGACATCGACAGGCTGGCTCCGCCTAACCTTACACTTGTGGGGGGAAGGGATTGTTAGTAATGGGGAGGTTAGTCCCCATTGCTAACCTCTCCATTACTAACAATAAACCTTATCAGATCGACCTCCATTCGGTTCACCTTGGAAACCATCGTGACAAATTTATCGTTAAATTCGCTTTGCCGATCCTAAAGAAACCTTAATACGCCCATTTTGAAGAACCCCATACTTTAGGGAATCCCAGGTTTTTACTTTTCTACGTAGGATGTTTATAAATACAATAATCAATTACTTCATAACTTCTCAACTATCCTTAAAATATGATTAAGGAACAGCAATGATGGATAACTCATATGTTTATTTCTAATTTTCAACCGACTTTAAAAAGAAGAATATTTTCAATTCGGTTGTATTTTTTTATGTTTGTTACTTTATAACTCCGATTTTTTTTATCTAAAATTAAATACTTACTGATTGAACACATAGAAATTTTATCAAAATCGGTTCAATAGTTTACGTCTTTAAAACAAAATAACTAGTTTTATAACAAATGTCGTCAGTTTTTTTTATAAAACACAAACTTAAATTACATACATACATATTTGTAATACCTGTCTCCCATTAGGGTAGGCAAAAACAATAGAACTCCAAATGCTTCGATTCAAATAAACCTCTTTCGCTTCTTCCGCATTCATCAATCTTTTAATACACGCTCGCCGGTTACGGGTACTTTTAATTTGGCCCTTCTTCAGCATGTCGCCTATTTGGTCAACATACGTCCGTCT